AAACACACACAAACACACACAAACACACACACCAAACACACACACACAACACAACACAAACACACAAACACACACAACCAAACACACAACCACACACAACACCACACAACCACACACAACCACACACAACCACACACAACCACACACAACCACACACAACCACACACAACCACACACAATACCACACACACACACACAACACAACCACACACAACCACACACAACCACACACAACCACACACAACCACACACAACCTCACACTACCACTACACATCACACACAACCACACACAACCACACACAACCACACACAAACACACAAACACACAAAAACAACAAACACACAAACACACAAACACACACAAACACACACAAACACAAAACAAACACACACAAACACACACACACACACACACACACACACACACACACACACACACACACACACACACACACACACACACACACACACACACACACACACACACACACACACACACACACACACACACACACACACACACACACACACACACACACACACACACACACACACACACACACACACACACACACACACACACACACACACACACACACACACACGGGGGTAGCACACACAACACTACACACACACACAACATCACAATTCACAAACCCACACACACACAAAACACACACACACAAACAAAAAACACACACACACAAAAACACACACACACACACACACACACAAAAACACACACACACACAAAAACCACACACACAAACCACACACACACACACACACACACACACACACACACACACACACACACACACACACACACACACACACACACACACACACACACACACACACACACACACACACACACACACACACACACACACACACACACACACACACACACACACACACACACACACACACACACACACACACACACACACACCACACACACACACACACACACACACACACACACACACACACACACACACACACACACACACACACACACACACACACACACACACACACACACACACACACACACACACACAACACACACACACACACACACACACACACACACACACACACACACACACACACACACACACAAAGGAGCCCTTCGTAACAATGTTCCCTCGGAAGGACCATACTATATCATCAGAATCTCAATGTACGCGTGGAACTCATGAACAGCAGGATCCGGGATCCCTTCTCTGACCAGAAAGTCGCAAGGGGACTCCACAAATGGCTATGAATTTCAATTGGGGACTGTGACGGACATGGCTTTACCCGCCCGAACCCGAATAGAGGCCCCTCAAAGATGCTCTTTCATAAGATGCCCTGTCAGGTTCCCTGTTACTGTGAATGGTTGGGAGGGTACGTGGAATGTATGTAAACCAGCCATTTTGGCAGGTGTTCCATAGTGAATTGAACTCATAGACAGTCGAGCCACGCCTCGAATCAACCTGTGTCAATTTTACATGCCCAGACCCGCAAAAAACTATCCCTTCCGAAATGGGAATTGCATGGCCAAAACACAACTCATCAAAACTGGCCAAGGAGTCGATTCCAATTGAAAGGTGGCCGCTTGATTTATCTTCGCGACCCACCCTACCTACCTGGCTCAGGCAGATGCGGAAGCCGTAGACCGGTGAAGGACAAAATGGAGAGGGACCATTTAGGGAATCTAGGGCACATGGGTCCATGGATGGTAGGAGATGGAGCATGGATCGAACATTGCGGAAGGCTAAGGATACACAAAGATGACATCTTTTGAGGGTTGGGAGTGTATGCTTTTGCTGTTTCCTGATATGGGGCACGCGAGGGATTTGATCAAGCTGGAAAAACTCTGGTAGGCTTGCTCGCAATCTCCCAAAAACGCAGCACAGCTTGGCCCCCTCCAAAAAGTCAGCCCGATTCGTCCAAAACCTAGTTGTCCACTGTTGTCCATGGCTTAAGACCTATATGACGCTGGAAAATTACTGGAACCAACCTGGAACCAATACCATCAATCTCCAAGAAAACAAATAACCATCCGAAATCTCGCCGACTCTGTAGGGGACACCCAACGAAACACTGTACCCTAGAGCTGGCCTCCGCTGACATCCGCTGTAGGTCCCCCAAATCCTGGGGCGGCACAACGGGCTCTGCGGTGTCTGTCAGCCTAACCACGTCAACGTGGACCTTGGACCCCAAAATTCGCGCAATAGAAAGCTGGGCAAGCGCGACAGCTACTCTCGGTTCAGGAACTACCTGTGACAGAAAGAAAGCAGGAGATGCAAGCTTCACGCGCAAATCGTATGCCTGTGACACAACATCGTGGCATGTGTAGCAGAAACGGAATTCCAGGTAAGCCGAAAGCAAAGCAAGTCTTGTGATCCGCCCCTCTTCACGGCTCGCGGCAACTTTTGTTGAACTTTACCCGAAACCTAAACCCTAACATGTTACCTTGAGTCCCAACGCCCCAACACCCTCAAACCCTGAGCCTAAACCCGAAAACCCCACTGTTTTGGATGGTTTCGAAGGAAAGCAAAAGGAAGCCGCTGCCATTTGGGCGATCCAACCAAGCTTGGAAGAGTCCCACATACGGGCGTGTGTTCAGGTTTTGCATGTTTCCCGTTTGAAACCGGCCCCCCAAAAGGTACCAAGTTTCAAAACGCTGTTCACCCTGTGGCCACTTTGGGCCCGAGCAGCGTCTCTGAGGTCGCCTGAAGCTCAGTGCTTGGGCAGAGTGACACAGCAAAAGCCCTCGTGTTGACAGCAAAGTTGAAGCCATGGCCAACGTTTGTCAGTTCCGTTTTGCACACTGCTTACGACATTTAAGGAATGTTCCGAGATTGGCCGCAGCATTGCGAGAAGCTGGCAACAGGAATCCCCCCCGCACAGCTTAATTTCTGTTGAAAGCATCCGGGATCCCTCTCACAACTAACAAATCGCCGCAGGTGCCATTTTCCGTCCTGCGCAAATCAAACATGTATGCCCTAAGTGGAACCAAGTTCGTACATGGTCAGACAGGTAGCATTGTGAACCTGATCAAGCCGGCAGCTGCTCTCAAGGGCAGCAGAGGGATGTTTCCGAATTGGAGAAAACACTCACATCTTTCAGGTGTTGAATGCTTGAGGAGGCTGTTCAGCCTCAACACATCGAGCCATGGCTACTCCAAAACCGTTGCAAACAAAACATGTTTGCGCTTGTCACCAAATTAAGGGTGGCTTCTTTGGGCTTTCTCTTCACCATCAAAAAGAGCTTCCCTGAGAAAGGATCCCTCACGGGTGAGCTTTCTGTACCGAGAGTGCTAGAAATTGTGGGAAAATGTTTTCACCATTCTTGGGCGCCAGTGGCATCTGCTTGGCGAAGCAATTCCCCCCCCTTTGTTGTGGGGGGGGGGTGGCTAAGCAATACAAAGATGATCCTCTAGCCAGCGGTCCTTCTAAGCAACGAGTTTGACATTGGCCATCCCACAACACGACCATGAGTCACGGAATCTCTGGGTCTGCGGCGTGAGGTGCTGAAGAGCGGGCCTCCGTCCCTCGTTGCAATAAGGACAGGTTCGGAGCTGGTTGGTTCGCAGCTGGGGGAACCGCAGTAGACTTGGTCTGCAGTTTTGGATGTGTATCATTGTTGGCGTTAAGCTGTCCCAAGATTTTTGTTGTTCTTCATTTGAAATAATAATATTTTGATGCTGAATCACGTGGGATGAGGAATGCGTGGTTCAAGGGTTGCACAGGTTTGGTTGTTCCTTTCAGACAAGGGAAGGAAGCAAGCGAGGACAAGAAAAGAGAAAGGGAATGAAAGGCAGCGAACAAAGGCAGGCGAGGACGGACAGGAAAGTACAGTGTCGCGCAGTTGCTCCATGTGATACAACATGTGGGGCCAAGCGAAAGGGGCTCTTACCAGGTCTCCAATCATTGCCATCCTCTGCAATACTGGAATAAGAGTTGGGCAATTTATCCAATCCTCTAGCCTCTCCATTATTGAATCAACATGAGCTTGCAGGTTGTGCCGCCTGTGCTGGATGTCACGAGCCAGCAGCGGCAACATAAACGTAATGCATGGCTCATTCTTACATCTAGTGATCCACAAATGAACGAGAACTCGCAAGGGTGCAGCCTCATTTTGATCGCGTATCCTGCCACAAACAACGATGGAACCTGAATGAGGCCCCCGCTGTTGTCCCTTCGCACTGCCTTTGTTTCTTCTTGAGAGGAGGCCTCGTCTTCCAGCATGGGCTCCCACACGTTCCATGCTACTGGAAGGGATGGTATCAGGGGCTAAGATAAAAACAGCGTACCGACATTTAGCAGCTATCTTGACTTGGTTCACTCGGTCTAACTTGGTCTAACGGTACCCGACTTGGTATATTCATACCCTCCGGACCTCATTTAACTTATGCGGACCTTTGCAGTGGATCATGTTGACTTCCTTCTTTCCGCCGCCATTCTGGGCTCGCCCTGCTCCTGCCGGTCGCCGCCCGCATGCTGCACCCGCGGCAGCTCCGGAATGATGAACCTCAGGCGAGGTTGGGGGATGAGTTGGTCTTTCGTCTTGAGACCTCCAAAACGATGGACCACCCCACTGAGGGTGGTTCAGAATTTGGGGAAACATGCCAGCTACTGAAGGCAAAATGTGGCACGCCTTTTTGCAAAGGGGGAGTTGTCTCACTGCAGCCAACGCTTTTCGCTCGTGGCCGAGTGGACACCAACTGAGGTCGCAGCTGACGTCCTTCTCGTCCCACCTTGCCTGAGTGCATATCGTCGAGTGAAAGCCAGAACTCGTACTCACTGGCAAAAAAGCGACCTCTTTATATGAAAGCCCCGCTCCATGCATGAGGCCACCTCTTGAAGCCTGATTGAGACTCGGTTGTGAACTGGATCGAAAGGTTGGCCTTTGGGGGCATGACCCAAGAGTCGGCTTTGAATTGAGATCAAATTGTTGAGTGATTTTGAGACTAGGACCTTCGGCTGGCGACCATTTCCATTTTCGTGCTGCTTTCGTGTCTGCAGTGAGAATTAATTCGAGCGACTGCATTGAGGGCCTCATGCAGCCTTGCCAGCTCCATTCTGGCCAGGCTAAAAACTCACCACTTGTGTGCGAGGTTTCCAGCACGTCAACCTTTACATTCAGTACACATATCTGCCTTTACGCCGCAGCATTAGTACAGCCAAAAGTCGGAGCCCTATCGCAAGACCCAGCAAGCCTGCAAGATTCTGTGGCCATTGGTCAAATTGAACATTCTGGTTGTCTACAAAGGATGCCCGGAGGTAGTCGCCAGGCATCATTTCTATGCACCGCTCTCGATCTAGAGTGCTCTCGCAGCCGGAGATGCTTTCATAGATGCTCCAGAATTCCACGACCGTCACCAGATCGATGGCATATTTCAGAGGGCACACCCAGCGCAGCCAGCCCAGGGAGACGGGGATCTTCGAGATGGGCAGCAGCAGGCCGCTGAATAAGAGCTGGGGAAACAAGGTGAGGGGCGCCAGCTGGATGGCCTGCTGCGCGGAGCCCACGCTGCTGCCGATCAGAAAGCTGGTGGAGGAGGAGGCCAAACCCAACCCCCACAGCACCAGCACCAGCAGAGGAAACGAGCCCTCCAGCCCGATGAGCCAATAATTCACCAGCAGAATGATCAAGGTTGACACCAACAGCACCGGCAGCTCCACCAAAGTCTTCGCAATGAAGTAGGGAACGACCCCATATTGGTTGGAGGCATACTCCCGCAAGAACGTTGGCCGCTCTTGTGGGAAAGAAAGCAGGGTTGGCTGAGCTGCTCCCATCAAAGCCTGAATGGCCAGGGAAGATACCGCACCGTAATGGGCTTGGAAGTCGGTTGTGCACTGCGCAGCACTGAAGTCGTCACCGCACTCTCCCGTATCATCTCCGCGAGAACCGCTTCCGGCAAAAAGCCAGCCAGTGCCAGCCGACAGTGCGGCGCACAGGAACAGCCTGAAGAGCAAGGTGCGATGATTTCTCATCATACTGCGAACTTCCCGGCGAACGAGGAGGAAGAGCTGCGTGCAGAAGCTTGGATTCACAGCAGCTTCACCTGGCAGGCTCTCACCTTTGAGACGCAGGCTTGCCAGCATGTCCGCGCAAAGGCGGCTGCTCAACCACTCCTGCTTCACTTGCTGGATTTCATCTGCATCGGACTTTTGCAGAAGGAACATGACGTGATCTGCCGGGTTGAAGCTCTCAGGGCACGGATATCCCAGGCCCTCGAAGTGGCCCGCCAGCTGCTCCGCAGGCCCGTGGAACACCACGCCTCCCGCATGCAAAATGACGACATCCTTGAACATGGCGAAGATCTGCGAGCTGGGCTGATGCAGGGTGCAAAGCACTGGAACATCTGCTTCAGCCAAAGTCTTCAGAGCTTCTGTCAGTCGGTTGGCGGAGAAAGAGTCGAGGCCGCTCAGCGGCTCATCCAAGAAGAGCATCTTAGGATTTGAGATGAGCTCCACTCCAACAGCGGTGCGCTTCTTCTCCCCACCGGAGATGCCCTTGACTATGGCACCACCCACTAAAGTATCGGCGCAACGACTGAGGTTCAGAGTCGCGAGAAGCTGCTCCACCACTGAGTCCAACTCCTTTGACCCGACCTCCCTTGGCAGTCGCAGGCGAGCTGAGAATTGAAGGCACTCCCGGGGAGTCTCAGTCGATGGCAGCGCATCGTCTTGCATGACATAGGCAATGTGCTGCCGAAATTGCACTGGCTCGATCGACGTCCCATTGATGCTGATCTCTCCCGACAGGGAGTGTCCAGATGCCTTGGTATTCTGCCGGCCACCAAGGATGTTCAGCAAGGTGGACTTGCCGCTTCCGGAGGGGCCAAAAACTCCTGTAAGACGGCCGGGATGTATGATGCCGGTGACATTTGTCAGGATCTGCCTCTTGCCGATGGAGAAGTTCAGGTCTTTCCAGGCCATAGAAAGCGACGGCTCGCATTCGTTGCATTGATCCGGCAGCCGGCTCGCGAGCTTCTGTAGCCTGTGCCGCACCGTCTGCAGCGTTGACTGCTGGGAAACGCGGCTCGACGGAGTTGGGCCGAAATCTCCTTTTGCATCCACGTCAAGGTCGGAAGGCTGAACTCCAACGACGTCCATGGCTCCGAAACTGGGATGCGGCTCTTGAGCTTGCTCTCCTCTGCGGCATGAGAAGATTTTCTCCCTGCGCCCAGAACGGCATGCGGTTGCACAGAGACACCCCTGAGGGCGGATGCGCAGACTTGTTGAGCATGTCTCACAACCAGTACATCTACCCGAAGTCCGAAAGCACTCTCAGTCCGCGGCCCAAAAATTTCTGCCAAAAGTTCCGCGGCCATTTCGGCAACAGCTCACCTTGGCTCGTTCCCCTTCCGTGCGCATTCATGCCATGCAGACCGCCTGATTAAACCATGGTTGGCCTCTCCAAAGCGCTTGCCAAGCCTGAGTCGGCGATGACAAGCTCTAAACTAGTCTGAAAGATGACACGACAAAGGCGAACTTGTGGTGTGGAACTCTGGTATGGAATCGAAAGCTCCACCAAAGCACCCAGGATAAAAGCCTGGCTTTGATGGGGGAGCTTCCCTTGAAGTGATTGCATATCTTTTGCCTTTGGCTGGCAATTCGGGTTGCCCCGCTCCCCGAGAATCTACTGGCGGACTCATAGGAGGGCATTTCCTTCTAGTCCAGGATCCCTGCAAACACCCCTTACCAACCAAATGTAGATTTATCATTCCCATTATAGATTGAGCATCTGGTGTCCCCACTTTTGAACTGCTGGCCTCAGTTGCCCGGTGCTAGACAAAGAATTGGAGCCCTTTTGGCATTGGCCATTCGAAATTGCGCCGTAGTGGGTCCCGAATCCCTACCAAAAAACAACCAGAAACAAAGAGCTCTGACAAACCCAACTTCCACCAGGGAAGCCCGCGAAACCACCAGGGAAGCCTGGGCTTCGGGCGCAAGCGCTGCGTGGAGACCATCCAGGCCACACCCGAGAAGGAGTCCACACCTGAGGTCTCCCATTGGAATAGATGGCAGGGCTCCCATTTTCAACAAGCGATATGTTATTGGCAATCCATCCATTTAGTGTTGTATTTACATGGCACTGGCAAATCATTGAAACCAAACTGAACCCAGTGACATCAACTTATCTTTAACCAAATTGACCTAAACGGACACCTACGAGCAAAGGCGTTTTTTTAAGCTTGAGCCATGAAGAAGATCACACAACTGAGCCCCACGATCGCAAACGCCCTTACCGGGCCGTTTCGCCTTTTAGTTCCCCAGATTGCCGGTGACACACACAATTCGGATTTAATTCCATCAATGCTCAAGGCGCTCGAGTTCTTGGCAACACCTAACATGTCGCTGGTATAAGAAAACATGGTGCGCGATACAAAGACTTGCAGGATTCGGCCTCTGGTCACTTGGCAGGTGTGCTTATTGTTCTCCTCTTTTGCTATGCGCTTGTGAGTGAGCATGGGGCTGTCAGTTGACGAGCGCGCCTATCATTTGTTGCATGCGCGCCTTGGCAGGTTCTGAGCTATCCGTTGGGGTGTGTGCATGCTTACGAGCTCGACGACCGCCTCAGTTGGCATCTCCCATTGCATGTTGCTGCCTTTTCCCAACCGCTGCGGTACACAGAATTGATTTGATGAGACAACCGAAAACAAACATGAACACAACTTCCATAAAGTGCTCTGCCCTGCAATCGACGAGGCACAACAGGTTTTGAGAGAAGCAGGGCGAGCGCCATCCCTCTCTCTTTCTCTCTATATACTGATATTATTATATCCACATATCTAGATATCTAGATCTCATGTAAGCTCACCGTAACATCCTTCTTCTCAAACCCCTTGAGTCCAGGTCCAATCAAGAGACACACGAAACGCTTGCTTCAGTTTTTGTTCTCTCGAGTCATCTCGAGTCCAACTGAATGAATGTTCCATTCAATCGGTGCCTTGAGCCATAAGTAAGCGAAACAAACCACGGACGCCAAGTGGCGAATTTGACACTGACCGCCACTATATAAATTTCAAATAACACATGCTGGCAAACAACACGACGCAGTTCGTGACAAAGTGCTGGGAACACGAAACCAAACAGCCAACATACCGTGAGACAAATCCAACAAACTGGCTTTTCCATCTAGCTGGCAAATCAAGTGATGCGCGTGCTTCCCCGGCCCACCTGTCAGTGAAACCCGTCATGAACAGGTTGCACCCGGGGATTCATAGCACGCCCCAAAGGCCCGAGTGGCCACTGGCCACGGGAAAAAGCATGTGCCTTTGCTGTTTCTCGGTTTTTTGAAGGGCACCAAAGAAGTGTGGGAACAATGTGGCAGCATTTTGCTCGATATGTCCATTTGATTCCATTTCTTTCTCCCCACTCACAGAAAAAGGATACTCACCTGCAATAATGATGTCACCCGAACCACCATCACTTTTAGAGGAACCTCTTTTTGGGGAAGCCCCCTTCGGGTTCCTTACTTGTTTTTCGGGCAGGCGAACGCGTAGGCCGAGGTGCGCAGCAGGCGCTGGCGCGAGGCACTGTAGGGCCCCAGGGCGTTCTCGTTCCAGGCGCTGACCTCTCCCCGGGTGTCCGGGAATGAAGAATGGGTCCAAACAATTAATCCCCAAAATGGAGCCCTGTTAAATGGACGAGCTGTCTAATACCCGCGGTCTGGTGGCTTAATTTTGACCCATACCCACAGGCATGAATGGCGTGAAGCGAGTTTGTTTGACCTCGTGGCGGGCATGATTCAGAAGGGGAAGTGTAGCAGTGAGTGACCTCCACTTCCCAGTTGCCACCTGGCGTTGCCCAGTACCCAACGTCATTCCCCTGACTCCAGATGACGGTTAGTGACCGTTGCTCATTTCAGTCCACAAGTCATTGTTGAGGGTGCTCCCAATAAAATTCACGACCCTAACGATGGGTTGTTTGGCACCCAGTAAGGTTTCAGGCGCAAGTCACAAAATGTTACAGAATATCTGGGCGGTCTGCTGTTGATTCCATTTGGTTCGCCCCTAACTCCAAATCATTGACTATCTGCCCTGATTTGAAGCATATAGTGGTTGGACCAAACAACCATCATCCACTGCTGGTCCAGGATGCCTCTAGACTCTTGACCTTCGGTTGATTTCTGGGCAAGGAAGCACAATGTCAGAAAGGGCATTTTGTTGTAGTCATATCCACACGAAGTATGGTTGGTCAACTTGCAACCTTTAGGAAGTCAAGCGTAACATCCCATCCATTAACATGACAACCAGCAGAACGTGTCTTCTAAAAGACCAAGGTCTCCCAGGTCTCCTTTTGTCAAGGAGGGGTTTGGGACCGGAACTGGGCCATCTTCCTTCCAGCGCTCTTGGTGCAGCAGGAACCGTGAGAGCTGACGGAAACACACCAACTTCTTGAGCTTCTACAGGAATCAATATCCAGGCGCACAAGCTCTGGTGTATGGCCAGGGTTTCAAGCTGCTTCCCTGGTGGCACCTGCCTTTGCCCAGAATCAGATCTACTGCCCGTTCCATGCTCAGCTCATGCCACAATCCTCAGCCAAAGATTCATTCCGCCAAGGTAAGCAAACACGTGTTGGATTACCATCACCTGCATCTAGTTCACCCGCTGATGACGAACTCGGATAGGAAGGGAGAATACACAAACCTCAACATGCTGGGCACCGCAATACCGGTACTGCGTCTACCAGCTGGAACGGCGGGGCATCGTCACGGAACCGCTGAGAATATTTGCCTTCTGGCGAAACCAACTGTACGAGTACTTTGCTTGTGACCGCAGCATGAACCGTTGCCCCAGAAGCAACCAAAACATGCTTTCCTTCCAAGCAGCTTTGGTTCTCCACAGGAACGGGAAGCATTCACGGCCCATCAAGCCCTCAGCGCCGGAGCTTCAGCAAGCTCCAGGCCCCCGACGCCAAGCAGATCCTCGTGCTGCAGCAACGGCTTGAGCTGGGCGAAGTACAGGAGGAAGTCGAGCCTTGTGGCGCAAGTGTCCAAGGCCGAAACCCATGCGGGACTGAGAATTGCCTCGCAGGGAAATGAGCTTAATGCAGTCTCTTGCAGTGGCTGTATCGGATTTTTTGAGGGAGCATGGAGCTAGCAACACTAAATTTATTGCTTCCGGGCATCATGCAGGTAGGATTACATGCGACACCTCAAAAAAGCCTTGCCCCTGCATCTTCCCCGCAGCCAAGGTGCATGATGCTCGGACTGCATGAACATGCTTTCATTAGGCATTTTCCACTTCTGTGTGCGGGCGACGTGGTAGGTGGTGGTCATCGTGGTGCAAACCCACATTGAGAGCTTGGAACAGGGGCAAAGTGATCCTGGCGGACCACTACGTTCTAATGTTGACCCTGGATTCATAAACCTGTCCCATTATTAGGGGGGTGTTCCCTCCAAAAGTGATGAATCCCCTCTAAAAGGGGACACGGACACCCCCCTAAAAATCAACCAGGTGTTTACTAATCCGGGGTCAACATTACCCTACCGAGTCGAGGTGTAGTACCCAGGCATCGGGGCCACATCTTTCGCCAGCTCTGCCCAGACAGTTGCGAGTCCCCACGTGGCTGCTGACCGGAACCCCAAACGATTCTTCTTGCGGCTTGTGGGTCCGACGTAAAATCCTGAACCATTTTGGGAAAGGCACACGGTGAAGCCTTCGGAATATGGATCAACTACCTACCAACTAGTGCAGGATGTTGTTCATACACAAAACCACCCCGCGCTGCTTCGGCAAAGGTATCTTCAGTGGATCCGTGTGCGTCGCGTTATCCATTGCTATCTGGGTTCATACGCTTCGAGCAAACGAAGCCCATGGGTGAAGCTGCAGCGATTTTGGATCTCCTGTAGGCATCCTGTTTGAAGCTGTGGCCGTCTAAGGATGTTGCGACACCACCACATCCTCCTCCTCAGCACGGGCACAACGGGAATTCACGGGTAGCCACCAGCGTCTCAGAAGTGCACTGCTCATTTTCTGGCTCTTGCAGATGTTCCCCTACCAGTAGGGAGCCCTCCTTGACACACGCAAACCAAGTTTGAACGTGAACCCGCTGCACTGCCGTCAAGGCCCAGGTCGCAACTGGCCTACAGGGGCCCTTCACTTCGCTGCAGCTTGGGGCTGGTGACATCCCGCTTCTCACTGCCTTCTGTATATCCGTGTTCTGCTGTGTCCTTCGTTTCTCGTGGCTCAAGTCTTGGATTCAGCCGATTCGCGCCAGGCCATTCAGCCGATTTAAGCTGCACACGACTTCTTTTCAGTGATGTTTGGCACGTGCCGCAAGCATCAGGTCATGCAACCATTGTGGAAGTCTTGTAGTGAACTTACAGCTGATGCAATAAGACACTGATGTAGGCTAGCTTCCAACACGCAAACGCAAACACACACCCTTGCATCTTTGAGGTTGTTGAAGCGATTGGATCCTGTTTGCACAACACTTGAACCATGCTGGAGAGTATGCTGGATAGTTGTGCCCCATCTGATTTGTCCGTTCTACAGTATTCTGTAATGACAATCAACAGTACACAGGTGCGGAGCGTGTGTGGCTGATGGTTTCATGTACTGTCTATTTCAATGCCGTTCTGGAGTACCCGGTTGACCAATATTCTTGGGAAGGGTCGAAACCATTAACGAGGTATGCAATTGGAACCTGTACGAGGTACCCGGAATTCCACACTTTGACTCGGTGCGAATGCTGGTCAAAACGTACGTTGCCTTAACAATGTTTGAAGGCCTTTTGGATGTTGGGTAGTGGGGGGTTTGACCACTCACTTTGGTTTTGCAGGACATCTGGCACATGTTTGTATGCTTTGACGCGGATACATTCTTTGAGGCTCAAGTAGCTTCAGCAGCGCTGCTAAGTAGAGTTCAAGCAACCCTTTTCTCGCGCAGGCCTTGGCCACATGGCATCCCACTCAGTAAGTTAAATCCGATCAATTCACCTCCCGGAGCTTTTTGAGCTTCTTCCTTGGAGGCCCTTCCACTACCTCCAAATTGTCTATGTGAATTGAAAGCTCCAAGGATTCGTCGTGTGCGAAACGCACACCAACGCGCTCTTTCTCTGCAAATATCTCGATGATTTTCCCTTCCTTTCCAATGAGATTCTTCCGGGTCTTCAGACACGTGACCTTCACCATTTTCCCAAGGAGGTGGTGCATCGAATCCTCATCTTCCTCATCTTCGCCTTCCGACCCCAAGGATCCGAAAGGCAACCCCGAGAAGCGGCAGTCGTCCAAATCCTCTTTGAGAGCCTTTGCGTTCAGGAGGCGGCCGCTGTTTCTCAACGCCTGCTTTGCCCGCGGCCCCAGCAAGGCGTTCTGGCACGAGAGGCGGAAGCGTGACTGCCGGTCAGGTGGTAAGTTGAACTCTGCGTGACTGGCATGCCCCTTCTTCAGGAACGTGATGTCCTTCAGGTCATAGTCAGCATCCAGGTTCAAGCTCTTCAAGCGTGGCAAGTACACACTGATCTTTGACAAGCAGTCTGCACGGCGAAGGGCAAAGTCCTCACAGTTGGGCAAGTAGAGGCCGAGAAGGGCATCTGCGCAGTACTTGTGGGAAAAGAAGCATTTGATCCTTGGGCATTGGATGAGGGATTGGGCAAAGGGCTTCCCCGGTGGGGCATGGCACTCCAAAATGAGCTCCTCCAAGTTGGGGAGCTCCAAGTTCCACTTCTCATCTTGCATCTCTGGGCTTGTCAAGCAAACTGTTCTGAGCTCCGGCAAATTCTTTAACTCAAACTTCTTCAGCAACATGTGCCTGGCACCAAAGTAGCACACCCGCGGCACGTACTTGCGGAGCAGCTCTGAGAAGTTGGTGAAATCAAAGACAGGGTCCTTCTCGCTCCAGCCAGGAATGGGGTATAGGTGTAGCTTGCGAATCGTCTTGGCATTCTTCAGCTTCTTCAACACCTTCTCAAAGTCGGCAGGCGTCTTCCCCACAGCGCTCTTCAGAATGAAGAAGTTCTCGCGATCTTCGAGGAACGCCACCTTGCGCTTCTCAATCTCTGTTTCCACAGGATTGGGATATACCATCACCGAGCCGGCCAACATCTCTGAAAGCTTCTTTGCCAGTGTGGCCTCCGAGGCCCTGCTGAGGTCTGCCATGGCTATCACCGACTTGTGCGGGTTTTCTGCTTCAATGGTTGAACTTGCATAGTATGCAAATCAGACACGTGGTCTTCAATGCGGGTATAATCAAAGTCAATTGGACTGTGTTCAATGAAGTTGCGCCTCAAACTAACCCACCACCTTGCTTTTTAAGTTGGGCCGGGCATCCTGAGGCAACCATCGCCTACTCAATCAGCAACTCTGAAGGTGGTAGCCAGTCAAGTGACACAACGAGTTAACATGGCCAATGGACTTTTGATTTGGGTCTGGAGTCGCTGGCTAGGGTTGTGTTGGCTGTTCAAGCAGTACATACCTCCCACGTTTCCTAGACTGCCTCAAAGGGCAATGTGGACTCTTCATAGTACACAGCAAAGGCTTCGCCCCATCTGCGGCGGCCAAGGGGGCCATGTCACAGGCTCCCCAGTTGTTTGCTGCAAAAAAGCTGGGTGTGAAACCAAACACACCCCTTTCTGGTTTCTTCTGTGTGTGTGTGTGTGTGTGTTTACGTGCGTACGTACGTACGTACTACGTGCGTGCGTGCGTGCGTGCGTGCGTGCGTGCGTGCGTGCGTTGTGTGTGTGTGTGTGTGTGTGTGTGTGTGTGTGTGTGTGTGTGTGTGTGTGTGTGTGTGTGTGTGTGTGTGTGTGTGTGTGTGTTTGATCGATTGTAATAGTGCACCGGGCAGCCACTATGAGTTCTGAGCTCGGATTCCGATGTTAAGCAGCACAACTGAGAAGCTGAGGCTCCAGCCATGATGACCAGCGCCGACTGGTCACGGAAGGTCTCGGTGAGCACATACTGCAGCGCTGCTTTGTAGTGCGAGGCCTATGAGCGCTGCGCGCGAATGCCGGGAATAGCTGTTCGGGAAGGCTGTGGCCCGAGTCCGCATGAACTGAAAATCTGAATCGAAGCAAACTATCCACAAAAGCCTTTATCATGGGGCAAGGTTGAGCATGCCTGCGCACATAGAGTTCCAAGGTCGTGAATCATTTTGCGGGCGCATCCCCTCAGTGCAAGCCACCTCACAAGCAGCCCGTCAACCGTTTATTAGACCAGTCTCTTCAGTTTGCTTAGGGTTCGAACAAATGTTGGCTACAGACCCTTTTTGACCCCCATATCCCGCCTCACACGAAACTCATGGAAACACCCACAGGCTTCAAACGTGTCAAGGCTGAACAGTCAAGATGCTGCAGTTCTCTCTAAAGGCTTTGACGCCTTTTGCGCCTTTCCGTTTCAGCTGCAACATGCTCTTTTGTTGACGAACCATGTCTTCCTTGGCAACACCTTCCTTAATGTCATGGCATGCTCTGCCAAGCGTTGTTTTGCGGGCGGTTCCCAACTGACAACCTCGAGAAATAGAGCGCTAGGTGATGAGTTCATTCGCTACATCAAGAAACAAAGTCTTGAACGCCTTAAGCAAACTGTATACTTAGCTCCTGCCTTGACCATGACAAGCTGGTGCCTTAAAGTGTGTTCGCTTCTTGGTAGGAATGCAACTTGCTGATATATTATCATCCAACTCCCACTCCTCCGTCTGGCAAAATGTGCCTTTTCCCTGGCGTCAGCACCGAATGCACAGACAAAGCCGAAAGCCAAGGCTTCGGAAAATCGTTTGGATTCTCGACACAACTTGCAGGTTCCACACTGGGCTACCCCGCCACCCGCTCGCCGAAAGATTTGGGGCCTGAGTGAAAGCCCAAGACCTGGGGGGCAACTCTGCCGGGGGCCCTTGACAATGAATGTTGGTGGACAGTAGGTGATTTTTCTCGGTATGTATCGGGTGTCATCTATCCCAACTGGTGTGAAATGGATTTTGACCCGTTCACGAGGAAATTACAAGACACCCTCTTTACGGGAGGTATAGCACACACTGCAGACTCCTCTGTGCCATGGTCAGAGTCCTCATTGGAGTCATGATCATGACTCCCTTGACAGGAATCTTATTCATGTTGGTTGCATTGATAGCCTTTTCAAAGGTGAAGGAACATCCCTGCCAACCCCAAGTAAAGGGGGCATTTTGACCATGGCACATGTGATGACATCCTCTTCGGCACCTGCCTGACATCCATGATCTTCCCTTCAACGAGACGGTCAATGTTGGAAAAGGGCCCAGCCAATCCCGGAAACCTTGGGCAGAAAACAAGCAATTTCAAACAGGGGTCGCGCGAGTGTGGGTGCGTGCGGGTGCGTGCGGGTGCGTGGGCGGGTTCGTTTGTTTATTTGTTTGTTTTTTGCTTTTTTCTTGTTTGGTTGGTTGGTTTGCTGGCTTGTTTGTTTGTTTGTTTGCTTGCTTGCTTATTCCCCAAACAGTTTACTGTGAGGGGTTCTAAATTCATTTAAAGTGACTCGCCTATTGCCAAGCCATAGCCTGAATGCCTGGCACGGCTCTCTGGATGGACGGGTTCATTTGTCTCCCTTTGTCTCCCTTCCGTTGTCTCCCGTTGTCTCCCAGCCTGGATGCCTGGCACGGCTCTCTGGGTGGACGGGTTTATTTGTCTCCCTTTGTCTCCCTTCATTTGTCTCCCGTTGTCTCCCAGCCTGGATGCCTGGCACTAAATGGACGGGTTCATTTGTCTCCCTTTGTCCCAGCCTGGATGCCTGGCACGGCTCTCTGGGTGGACGGGTTTATTTGTCTCCCTTTGTCTCCCTTCATTTGTCTCCCGTTGTCTCCCAGCCTGGATGCCTGGCACTGGGTGGGCGGGTTCATTTGTCTCCCTTTGTCCCAGCCTGGATGCCTGGCACGGCTCTCTGGTGGACGAGTTCATTTGTCTCCCTTTGTCTCCCTTCATTTGTCTCCCGTTGTCTCCCAGCCTAGCCTGGTGCCTGGCACGGCTCTCTGGGTGGACGTGTTCATTTGTCTCCCTTTGTCTCCCTTTGTGTTTGTTTTTTCCGTTTGTCTCCCGTTCTCGGGGTGCGTTTGTCTCCCAGTCTCCCGGCCTGGATGCCTGGCACAGCTCTCCAAGCGTTCCCAGCCTGGATGTCTGGCATTCATTTGTGTCCCTTCATTTGCCTCCATGTTGGTGGTTGCCTGGCACGGCTTTTTGGGTGGCGGGTTCATTCTCCCTTTGTCTCCCTTCATTTGTCTCTTGTTGTCTCCGAGCCTGGATGCCTGGCACGGCTTTGTGAGTGGACGGATTCATTTGTCTCCCTTTTTTCACTTTATTTCTCCCCGGTTGCCAGCCTGGATGCCTGGGACGGCTCTCTCCCAGCCTGGATGCCTGGCAATGATTGTGTGTTCTTGGTGTGTTCCAGCTGACCACATCGGCGCGTTCCAAGTGAACACGTTTTTTGGCAATGTTGGTTTCCAAGAGTTGGCACGGGTTGCTGCGATGGGCTTTGTGTGGCTTTCAAGGGTGTAATGTTGCAGTTCTTACTTAGTACTTGAAGCCAGCCCGCACGTTTACCTTCATCTGACGTGGCCTTAATTTGTCAAATCCACACAGATGGTCGCCGTGAGTCCAAAAAATACGGCGATGCCGCGCTAGCCGCGCGATAGCAAGGCGCTAGCGCAGTGGTCAGCTGTGACCGGTTGCCTCAGTGCCAATTTGCTTCCGCTCTCCTTGCATGCAATTACCATAGAATGCGATTTGCTGGACAAACGGGAGGCAAAACGGCAGGCAAGAAGGCGGATGCCTTGTACGGAGCATACGGCAGAATTGGGTTCGTATTCCTCTGCGAAAGCATATGCTTTACTGAATCGATACGAAGCGAGAAAGAAGCGCAATGCGCCGGACAGCTTGTGCTAAGATGGAGCCTGTAAATGCTGGACACGCGCCCGATACTGATAGTATTAGCAGTAGTAGCAGCAGCAGCAGGCTTGCGCTAGCAATGTGTTGCAAAATTGCTAGATTGATCGTAAGCGAACACTACTTTCCTACTTGGAACACGCATATAGTGGAATAGCGCCTCACAGCCGGCTTCACGAACTTGATTTATGTGTCACACAGGCTTGCAGAGCAGAGAATATAACTATGTGAACACATTTTTGTTGTTTAGGTGAACGCATGTGTGCTGCACAATTGTGTTGCACATGTTCCTCCACATGTGCACATACGTGTGTTCCATGTGTACACATCTGTATATGTGTGTTACAAGTCTCAGCACAGAAGGTTGTTCTGGTTAAACACCAGTGTTGCGCGTGAAGACAAATGCCTGTTCCAAGATGTATGCGTACACGTGAACCGTGTACACATTTGTGTGTTCACGTGTGCACACATGTGCGTTCCAACTGGACACGTGTTTGTGTTCCAGGAACACATGTTTGTTATCAGACGAACACGCGTGTGTGTGTGTGTCTGTTTGCGTGTACTTGCGTGTACACATATGTGTTTCCACGTGTACACATATGTGTGTTCACATGTACACGTATGCGTGTTCCACGTGTACACATTTGTGTGTTCACGTGTGCACACATGTGCGTTCCAACGACACGTGTATGTGTTCCAGGAGAACACATGTTTGTTATCAGATGAAGACACGTGTGTTCTCCGCATGCACATGTATGTGTGTTCACGTGTACGCATATGTGTGGTGTACACGTGTGCACACATGTGCGTTCCAACTGGACACGTGTTTGTCTTCCGAAAACACGTGTTTGTTATCAGACGAACGCGCGTGTGTGTGTGTGTGTGTGTGCGTGTTCCGGGTGTGCATATATGTGTGTGTGTGTGTTGACGTGTACGCATATGCGTGTTCCACGTGTACACAGTTGTGTGTTCACGTGTGCACACATGTACGTTCTAACTGGACACGTGTATGTGTTCCATGAGAACACATGTGTGTTATCAGATGAAGTGCTCCGCATGCACATGTATGCGTGTTCACGTGTACGCATATGGGTGTTCCACGTGTAGACATTTGTGTGTTCACGTGTGCACATGTGTGTTCCCACCGGACACGTGTTTGTGTTCCAGGAGAACACATGCATGTTATCAGATGAACACGTGTGGGTCCGCTCCGCATGCGCATATATGTGTGTTCATTTGTACACATATGTGTGTTCCACGTGTACACATGTGTGTGTTCACGTGTGCACACATGTGTGTTCCAATTGGACACGTGTTTGTGTTTCAGGTGAACAGATGTGTGTTCCACGTGAACACATTACTATGTGCTAGGTGAACATGTTTTTGACCTGACGACATATTTGCTCTCCATGTGTACACATGTATGTGCTCCAGAAACCACATGATTGTTATCGAGGTGCGCGCATGTGTGTGTGTGCGCTTTAGGTGAACATTTATGTTTGCTCACGCGTGCACGTATTATGTGTGTTCCACGTGTGCACACATGTGTGCTTTAATCGCACACGCGGTGTTCCTGGACACATATTTGTGTTCCAGTGGTATACATGTGTGTGTCCCACATGTACACACATGTATGCTTCAATTGCACGTGTTTGTGTTCCAGGTGAACACACGTGTGTTCCACGTGTACACACAGGTGTGCCTGAATTGGACCCACGTTTCATCGTGTTCCAAGTGAACACATGTGTGTTCCACGTGAACACATCAGCGTGTCGTAGGTGAACACGTATTTGTGTTCCAGGTGTACACGTGTGTGTGTGTGCTTTGCAAGAAGCACCCGTTGGTTTTCCAGTTTAACGCGTGTATGCGTGTGCCGCATGTAAACGTATATGTGTGTGTTCACGGGTGGATATCTGCGCGTGCCGCGTGTACTGTTTCAGTCGTATACATATGTGTGTTCCACATGTACACACACATGTGTGTCTGAATTGGACATGTGTGTCTGAACTGCCCATGTGACCGCGCGCTTGCGCAGCCACACTTGCGTTCAGCGCGCTTGCCCAACCTCAGTTCCTGCGCGGTGCTGAAGCGCGAAGCGGGCCAGCAACACACTTGCAGCAACGCAACGCGTTCCGGGTTCTGTTGAAGCGCAAAAAGCCACAAGCTGTTGGCATGTATGTGCTTGCCCGTCAGTCCTCAACTGTTTGGGGTCTCTGCTGGTGTAATTTGTTTGTTTGTTTGTTTGTTTGTTTGTTTGTGTGATATAGTGCGTTCTGACACATGCTGCTTTTCCAACGCAACATATTCGGTTTCGACAAGTTCACCGCAAGAGGTCCGGGGAGAGGCCATTCAAAAACGTTCAACATCCCTGCAACTCCCAAACAAGGCTCCTGAATTTCCCTTTGACACATCATCCTACCACGAGTAGACTCGCTTTGAACTGGCCCAAAAGGTTACGATCAAAACCACCACAAGGGAACCCAATCCTCCAGTGGCCCCCCCCCCCCAATTGAAGCATAGCCCACCCAAGGACACGCCCACTGGAGGTCTGGGGGAAATACAGTTGGGTGAATGTAGCTGCAACAACCTCTCCATGTTGGTTTGCAAAAAATCGCCTCAACCTACAGAAAGGGAATTTTGCCCTTCTCGAAATCGGGGTCCCTGAAATGGCAAGCAAGAAACGATCTCCTTTTGGTTTCCCTTTAGCCAACCTCTTAAGGGGTCAAGTCAAGGACCGCGTCGTAGCCCTCCGGCCTAGGTCCACCTGGCGCCAGCCCAGCTTCAGCCGCTGCACCTTCGCTGTGTCCAAACAATAAGGGGACACCCCAAATCTTGGCTTTCGTTTTGGGATGACTGACAAAACAAACGCATCCATGAACAGGGCGGGTGAGATTTCGTCGATTTTGAGGACGTCCTTGCCACTCAATTTTTGCCAAAGTCCCGTTCCATTTTTCGAACCCTCCCCACAAAAGGGAGAATGGAACTGCAGGAATCCAAAGGTCACCACTCACCCCCCTCGTAAATTCCCTTTTCGGACTGGGGATGCCGGCAAAAGAGGTCAACGGCACTCTGGGCTGCCAGCAATGATCTTGGCTTCTGTACCTTCGCCATCCTGCCATGCAAAGCGGTGGGCACGGCGAGATGCGGCCCGTGTAAGCCTAAGCGCACCCATTGCAACCTGACTATGAGGCGCCGAGGGCCCCACTCGAGCTGGATCTTGTGATCACTGAAAACATGCGGCCTTGGCCCAAGGCCACCCAAAGACCCAGAACATGTCCTGGTATAGTAAAGGCGTTGACCAAAGTTGCCCGCCCTTGTGAACCCCCAGAAACACCAGTGAGTTTCCAGCATTCTCGGGCTGACGAGAAGATTCAGGGACCACCTGCCTGTGACACGAAGACCATGCGGGGGTTGAAGCCGTACGCCTGCCAAACAGCATTGGGGCACCCCATCCCGTCGCATTGATAGGACCGAATCTGGTGTCAGTTTGCCCCTTTGGGGCAAAAGAACAAGTCTGTGCTTCCAAACCCAAGGAAAGCATCCTGGGGAGTAGCCAAGGGAATACAAACAAGTAAAGCATACCCGCAGCTGGCAGCTTGAGTCAAGGACATTCGACCTCAGAGGATATACTGCTGCGCTCAACAGCAAGCTTCTGTCGTCTGATGCAAATCAAAATCGACAATGTTGGCGAGTGTCATATGTCCCCTTGCAAAAGGTTTGTTTTTATGCGGGGTCACACAGTCACAATCAAGCATGGTTTACAATCACAATGTAGCAAAGGCAAAATGCACCACTGTTCCACCTGAATGCCGAAGGCTTCCTAATTGAGCATGTCAAGCTCGTTCTTACTAAGAGCGCCTGCATCTGACATGAAAGTTGATGCACATATTGATTTGCCGAGGTGCAGCTAGCTCCCTCATCACCGCTGGCACATCAAGAAAACAACATGCATTTGCTATACGGTCCCCACCTGCAAACTTCCGGTCTATCTCGAAATGTATAGGGCAACCCCACACGTGAGTGATTTTCAATTCCTTTCAAACAACACCAACACTCACGATTTTCCCTTGGTCCCCTCACCCAAAACGGGTACCCTTAACAAAGATGCTCCCAAAGAATCGCCGTTGAGCACTGCAGGCCTGTGATTATTTACCGAGAGCCTGCACCAGCGAGTCCAGGCACTGCTCAAGATAGCGTGGTCCTGAGACGGTAGGTCACGCATCAACATATGCTGCAAATCAAACACCCAGTACCTAAGCTTCTCAGGACTTTTTTTGAGTGCTGGATAAGCAAATTCGCATGAGATAATCTGATACAAAGTTCTGGGCACAGTATTTCAGACATCACAAGCAGCCGTTATCGTGCGCAGCATACAAATTGAGAGATACCTTGGACACAACTGCTGTGACAAACACAGGGCGTGGGAACATTAAGCTTTGTGACCTTTGCTCAGTGTCCCATGAAATCCTTCTTGGTTCAGTGGAAAAGAGAAGTGGAGAGGGGCAAACGGATCCCAGCCCAGCGCTCTGAGTTCGGCACGCTGCCCAGTGGCAATCACCTGAGCTCTCTGCCATCATGGCCATGGGTCTCAAAAGGCTTGGACCTCTGTTTTTCTTTTTTTGGGGGTGGGGTCGTTGAAAATGAAGCAACGTGAAAACCAACAAGAGGGACCCTTGGCTTGACACTCCCTGCAACGTTGCAATATGATGGATACCTTCCGCGAATCGTCAGAAACCAGGGTTTCTTAGGTGGTGCGAAATAGATATTGTCCATCCACAGATACGGATCCTTTGGCGCACACGAACCGCCGGGTGTTGGACCCCCGAAGTTCTCAGCCCCGCGCCAGCACTGCCAGCTGCTCTGGGTGGAAGCTGGCCAGTTCAGCTGGGGCCTGGATCTTCATTTGGCTGTGGGTCAAACATAGGGTAACCCCAAAATGGAGCCCTGGTAAGTGGCAACATGGACCAAAACCTGCGTAACCCCTGGTGGTTTAATTTTGACCCACACCCATTTGGCACCCAAAAGGAATTGATCCAGTGCAGGTTGACATGGAAAGCGCACACCATCCAACAAAAGAGGGAGCACCCGTTGGGACCCCCCTTTTGGGCTCCATGCGATTTTGCAGAGGAGTACTCCCACGGTGGATTGTGACTCGGGAGTGTAATTCAAGACCAGACCTCTGATTAATGGAGTTGCAATCAACATCGCCGAGATCTTCGGTTCTTCTCCCAATTGCCTGATGATGGCAACAAAGGCAACAGGCCATCCGGCAATAGCTGTCAAATTGTAAAGTTGTGTGCCGCTCACTGCTCTCCGCATGCTTCCGGCAATTCTATCCTAAGCTACTCCTTGCAATCGCAAACTGTCACCACCAAACTGCTCAGCAATCCCACTGCACAGGGCCCTGCAAATCTCTGATCGAGTTGCCTTTTGTCGCATGTGTTCCGTTGCCCCTGTCCTCCAACTCCGGAAGCGAGGTCACAATGGTGGTCGTCAGGGTGGTTGTAACCTGCGAAAAGTCTCTGTGACTGACGCCGGAGGGCTCGCGCTGCAATTGTGCTGGTTTGTGAATCAAACAAGGGATAAGCGCCGGGGTCATGATCTGCAAAGTTGTATTTCTGGCTGCCGCAAATTGACTAAGGACTTGTTGTCCTGATGGTAGCTTTCTGACTTGGGCCAGTGGTCCCCATTTTTGCTCACAAACGTGCTGCCTGTTTTGTTCTATCCCGACGTTTGTTGGTCATCAACTTCACTTCTGCACCTTGAAAAAAAGAGGCCGGCAGCCTCAAGAAACGCGCGTGTGCTGGCCAGCAGCGCGAAGTGCTGCTATTCTCAGGCGATTTGGCCCTTTCTTGTCAAAGCCATGGTAAAAATGGAACAAAATAAACATGGTGCGCGTCAACGATGCAACGAAATGTTCATAACACGCAGGAATTTTGGTAAACGTGCTTGGTCGCCATGGTCAAAAGCAGCGTGGTCATTAGCAACGCCGTGACCAAGTTTATGCCTGCAATTGCTGTCTTCAGAACGGTGCAGACTTTGTAAGGCGCAAGAAGCTGCCCACCCGTGGCCTTTGGTTGCTGCTACTCCAAGCCACAAAGATGTTTGCTCTGATCTATGCCTGGAGCGAGCTATACACCAAAACAGAGCAGCACCAATTCATTGCCTGATCACGTGCGCACATCACTCTCAGGGCATCCATATGTTGGGTGCTTCAAGTACGCCTTGTTGCATCGGTCCCCATCGCTCGTGACAAACCCTAGCTGCCCAGAACCTCCAGGTCCTCCAGTGGAGAGGCTTTAGAAAAAGGACACCCTTTTTTTCTGTAGTCTATTTTAGGGGAACCCTCCCAACCAAAAAAGAAACGGTGAGAAAGGGCAGAAATTGCTGGGGGACCTTGACCTCCTTTTGATCACCGCGCACGGAAGCTGAGTTCCGTGGCCATGCCTTCAGCGCCATGGCGGCGGCCAGCTGCAACGGCTCCCTGCCTGGCGAGCTCCAGCAAGTGACATCTGGCCATGGGCTTTTCAAAATCCAAATCGGCTGGCCCCCAGTGAACATCCGATTCAATCCAACCACTAAAATAGGAAGCCTATGGGTGGTGAATTCACCTACCAACCAAAATGGGATCCCATTGGTTTTGACCCATGGCCATCTGTGACGAGTAAGCGAGCGGAAACGAACACGTGGACAATCCTTGCAGCCTCATGCCCTGGTATCGTTTGTCCTCCTCATCGGTTTGCAATGTTCTGGGGCTGAGAGGGGTTTAATATGATAGAGCAACTGAACGCCTGCTGTGTGGTGGCGTCCAGCAAGAAGTCCCAAACGTGAATTGCATTCTTATCATGCATGCATGGGGACAATGCTTTTCCCATATTGCGGCATGTGCTAGTTGACAGAATTTATCATGGCACATTGCAGGACTTCTTTTGGCAGCAACAGCTGACCACCCGCCAGCCCAATCTTGTGGTGTAAGCAACCGCCCCCCTTCGAAGGAAACTTGGCCGGCGCCACAAACGCAAAGCCGCCGGGTGCCCTCGTGGGCTGCTGAACAGGATCCCGGAAAGCGGCCTGAGCCGCGATGTCCAAAGGGACCCACATGCCCATGACGGTTTCCATTGGGACAAGAGGCTCACGCCCCCTCCCGCTTTCCTCTTCTGCTGCAGGATGAAACGTAGACCAAACGGGGAAACTGAAGGGTTCAATGCTTGGTCAGACTGCAAGATCGAAACTGGACTTTGCGACTAGACATGAAACTCCAGCTTTGAGCTTGTGGCTGCAGCTGAAAATGAGCTGCCCGCTGAAGTGAAACCCTCCCAAAGGTGTGGTTGTATCTTCGAGTTCCAAGATCCGCTCCCAGGGCAAGGGCCCTGCCATCTTGCAAACCGTGGCTGTTGAATGTTGGGGGAGCCGGGTGGTCTCATCAAATGCTGGCAAATAAAGAACGACGCCACTTAACACTTGCTAGTCCTAAAGCGAACACTCAAGGCAACACACAAGCGAAACACTCCCTCCCATTTGAAGGACACTTCCAAGGGTGCAAGCCCTGATCGGTGGAGGTTTCCTTATACCTCCCCCTTAAACATCACCCGAGCTAGAGGAACTGATTCAACATTGATCAAACTGGTGGTGTCGAACACCAACCGAGGAAATCCCAGGTCAGATCACCATCCGCCCGAATGCCAGCGCCAAGTCCTGGGCGGAAGTTGGTGTTGTAGAGGCACCTGCCCGCCTTCACGCCCAACACCTCCTGCGAACGCTTCTGGAACTCGTGGAACCGGGCCCGGCCCATGACAGCGACTCTCTGTCTCCCTCTCTCTCTCTCTCTCTCTCTCTCTCTCTCTCTCTGTCTCTCTCTTTCACAACTGCCCTTCAACAGGTGGGCTCAAGGACAATCCCTGTCCCCAAAAACACTTTTGCAAACTGCCTGATCGCTTCATCAGCATCCATCGTGTCACTGGATGATCACAGGAATATTTCCAAGGAACACGAGTCACTGGAGTGGATGACAACCAAACGAAGGCACCACGGGCAAGTCCTGTGCTGGCTGCTCTGAGCCTTCCCCAGGCTCGCAGCGCCTGCAATGCCAAGAGTTCGCGGACATGAAATCAGCATTGTCGCACCGCTCAAGCAGTGGCCCACACTTTGACTAACCCAGCCGCTGCCGCAGCCCTTATGGCAAACACAGGCGCACATCTCTGTGATTGTCAGTTTCAAGATCGGGCTACAGGAACACTTTCCAGAGACTGGCCAAACATCTACCAGACACGCAAATTTCCCGCACGCATCCTGTGGCTGGCTTCGTTGATCGCTGTCACGGTCTTGGTTCATGTTGAACCAAAGCCACTGGAAAGTATTCAAGCCACGTGTCAACCTTACAAAACCATTGCATAGGCCATGATTTCCTTGTAGGAGCCCTCATAGTAAGTTGTCTTCAAGTTCTGTTTTGGCACAGCTTCAGCTGCTGGCTTTCCTAGGTTTTGCAATAGAGTGCGGATCTGTCCTGAGTCCTTGTAGTCGATCCAAGCTTGCTAGACGTCAGATTTGCACTGGGGTCAGAACATACTGTGTATCCAAGGGGGCGGCTTGTTTGCCGGGTCTGCAAAGTCATGCTCAAGCAAAGCACCTCAGAAATATCACTAGCGACGAGACGTGCAAGACGCTGGCACCAACTTACGAAGCCACCTGCAGCCCATCGCACCGGAGAGGGCATCGCAGTTGTTGATGAACGCCAAATCCTTCCGCGTGGCTTCAAGGAAAGGCAGCTCTGGTTTGGCAAACCATTCTAGTGGTTTGCGCAAAATCCGAGACCAACGCAAGTCCCCCAAGTGAGCATGACACAGTTCAGGCAAAGACATGACACAAAGGTGTAAATGTGTTTTCTTTCGTTCATGATTCATGGCTGCAAAGAATTACTGGATCACTGCCATACCTTTCAAACAATGAATTTGTGCCCTCCTTCCTGCGATTGCGCTAGCTAAGAAGTTTCAAAACATCCACACATCACCTCGTCCAAGATTCTTGGCTCTGCGCTTGTTGCCAAGGGCGTCATGCCGCCCGGGTGGGTTTCGTCTCAGGCTGTGCGGAAATGTTCAGCCAGAACAGGAAACTTGACACCACGCCGGTTCCTTTAAAGGACCACCTGGGCTTGCTTGTAGGGTACCATTGCTTGGCCAGCTCTTTTGGGAAGAGCTTAATAAAGCAACACTTCATATCAGTTGGCAACGTTGGGTTTTGGCAACCCCAAGGGTTCACCTCGTTTTGGAACGGCAGTGTGTCTTTTTTGGGCTCACTATTCTCGGGCTGCCCTACTTTAACACACACGCACACACACACACACCCTCCTAGCCAATTAGGTAGGAATCTCAATTGGTCCCACTTTGCTGGACGCCAGCGACATGGATTTGTGCAACCAGCCACTTTTCAAGATGTTCCCCACCAAAATCCCAAGCCATTGCTGACAACAACACACACTGGGTGGTCTTGAACAATCAAAGCATGTCCATCCGCTTTCGGTGTCCGTTACGGGACAATAGGAAGCCATGGGCTATTTGGCACCCGAATGATTTTCCACATTGAAAACAGACACTATTAAGCTTATGGGCTACCCGGGTGTGCGCCAAAGAAATTAAGGGGAATGTTGGTTTTCTTGTGGCTTTCCATCCAAACCAAACACCCATTTGGGCGTTTCTCCAACTAGGGGGAAGGACACCTAACTTATAGAACCTTGGCAGAACAAGGCCACCAATTTCTTCTTGTTGGACAACTTCCACCAACCCAACAAACAAAAATGGTGCGGAACCTCAACCTCCGGGTACCGGGCACCAAAACTTCGGTGCCAACATGCGGCCGGCCTCCGCGAGGCACCGCAGGCCGTGGTCCTCGCAGCTGGCGGCGCAGGAGCTGCCTGGGGCGCCGGTCGAGGGTGAGACGTGAAGGGTACTCTCCCACCAATTGACATGGAACCTGACAGGGAATGGTCCCTTTAAAAGGAAAAGGTCCTTCTTGACCCTGTCAGGTTCCATGTTTTAATTGGTACCGAAAATTGCACTTGGGGGTGGGGCGGTGATGAATTTAGTGGCGTGGGGTTGTGGGAAACCTCTTAGATTCTCATGAAGGAAGGGAATGACCCGAACGGAACTATCCCCCGATTTGTTTTCCTTGGGGGAGCGGGATCACTAGTTTCCCAAGACCCAAGGTGATTCACTGGCAACCAGCAAGTAGGAGCCTCAAGGCAAAGCATCGGACTTAGGAAATAATTTGGGGCCCTGTGGGCACATTCCACTTTGCTGGGATAGCACCAGGGATAGGTGGTATCCCAGTTCTCATCTGGGGTTCATCATCCCAAGTGAGTGGATTTTGTCCACAGCGAGGACGGTCTTTGGGTGGAACTTAGGAAGGACAGGAGTTGGAGCCAGAGGGAAAGCACCGCCAGTTGCTTCTTAGGGTCGGATGCCTTCCGGGCTCCATGTCAGCGGGAAAGCGGATGGGACGAGCTTGCTAAATTACAGCTTTCAACACTTTTGGGCCTCCTACCTTAGCTTTTTGCCCCCACTTGTTCAGATTCGGGAACTTTGAAAGTAACCATTTCAAATCAACAAAGTGGGCGGTCGACAAAAATCCAAAATCCTGATCCGAAGAAGCCAAACAGATCCCTTCTTCTGGTCCATATCTAGTGAACTTTTAAACACTGAGGCAAAGACCAACATCACATATCTATACGCTGGCAAACCCTTAGAATACCAATAAAACCTTGCTTTAATCAAGATCCCAGATCCCAAGAACCAAGAACCAGATCCACCATTCTTGGTTTTCTTCCCCTTCGCACCTGGGTTTCAATCAACACCATCGCCATGGGTCCGAATCCAGATCACCCAGACCTGGCAGCTCGGCCGCTACCAGCTCGCCGGCCGCCGGCACTAGCACTGGCCTTGCGGCCTGGGCCACGTGGCAAAGAGATTCCCCGAGCAACTCATAAGGTCGTATCAGCTTCACCCAAATTGGGAGGTTTGGATTGGTTTGGATTGGATTGGTTTGGATTGGTTTGGATTGGTTTGGATTGGTTTGGATTGGTTTGGATTGGTTTGGATTGATGGTTCAGGGGTGGTATCCCATCTACCCTCTGCAAAATCCAGAATTTCAAGTTCTCAAACCACCGATCACAAATCAGAGACCAATCACAAATAGAGGGTGCATGATCATAAACACGAACAAGCCTCGCAATGTATGATTGGCCTCATGGAGCATGTTGCACTTCTTTCTTTTTCACAGCAGACGCTTGGAAATGCAGATGGTATTGTCTTCCACCCTGAGGAATGTGCAGTGCCATGTTGGTAAGGTAAATTTACAAAAATAATAGCAGGTGTTTCACTTGTTTGTTGTTCCTTCGCAACCAACTGCCCCAACATTCTGTGCCCGCATTCACTGGCTTCCTTTTGGTCTCCCTGAGAACCACCTGTCACTAGCTTTGGCAAACACCTACTTTCCACCATGGGGCTGTCTCAAAACAGCCCCCTGTTGACCTCCCCCCAGAGTCGGTTTCTTGGTGTCCCGTTCAACCTAAAGAAGGGGTGTGCCATGGTCAAAGCTTCATGGTCATGGTTTAGTAGGCTAACCATGACAAAGATATGGGAAAAAGCAAGGACACCCTTTTCGGGCTTACACACGGAAGGACTTGGAAGGTGCATGAGTGCTGCAAACCATGCTATGTTTGTCACTGGCACAGTCATTATGTTGCTCCAAATGCCCCCACACCCAAGACGTAGCCTCTTGAATTATATCTCTATATTTGCACATGTCATCCATGTATCCGGCAATGATCGCATTTGGACCGTTCATGATGTACTGGTATGGAATGTGGCAGTTGTGGCTCATATCGATCATTTGTGCGGCGGCCAACTTGTGCTCGTTCGCTTTCCCACACGTCGTGCAGCGATTATACCAGAAAGTCAACTAGAATCGGAAGTGGCGCCATGTGAAACTAAGTTTCTAGGGGAAGTGTCCCCATTCTTTCCAGGGATCCTTCTTTTCAGGAAACCATCAAAAACCCACGGAAAGCAGCTGGTTTCTGAAAAGCACGATGGTTGAAAATAATGGCGAATCAAACCCTGGAAAGTCATATTCAGCGACTCCCCTGGCTTTTGGTGGATCTGAAAAGCAGACAGGAAGTCAAACTAGTGTCACACGGTCACCCTATAGGCTGGCCATCTATGCACACAACACACACACACAAACACACCCAAGCACCTCCGGCACGAACGAGTTAGACATTCACTAGGCTCTCACCTGCACTGAGAAACTGGAACAGTGATGGATTGCCTTTTCGGGATCATGATTGATACTGGATCAAAACTAGGAAACCCAAAGGTCCCCATAAAAGCCTTGGGTGACCCTCAGGTTCTCCCATGTCGAGCTTGGGCCACCGGCCACTGGGAAAAGCATAGGCTCGAAGATCTGGCCTCAGCAAGGCCAGTTGATGCCCTCCTGAAACTCTTGCACATCCAATATGAAGGTTGGAACTCCCGAGTTTAAGGCAAGATGGTTGGGGCAAGCCCAGGGGCACATACAGTGCTCACTGTTTGTAGAACATGTCTTGGCCCTTATCGGAGTTCAACCCAAAACCTCTGTAGGCAAATGACCACAATCAGCGTACCTTCCCGCATGATGTTGCATATGCAATGGAGCTCAGGACATACACCAGTAGTCATTTGAGGAAGACTTAGCTCAGTCCATTCACCTCAATGTCAAGTTGACTCCGCTGCCGACCGCCACGACTATCTTCCAAATCTTGGAAAGGGGGGAACGATTGCTTAGTTTCAATCAGAGCCTATGCAATGCTTCTCAGCGAAACAGCATTCTGGAGCATCACCCGTGAAAAAAAATGGGGTGGCTGAAATATCGCCCTATCAATAGCAAGTCACAGCATGCCCTGAACATCAGGCGCTTGTCATCTAACACGGCTACTGTCTGATGAGTGGTTGTGTCTCTGAGTTGCTTTAAGCGCATACAAGACTGCAGGACCTCCCAAACAATTTCTCGCAGCCCCTTCTGCGGCAATCATCTCAGCACCCAACAACTTGCACTGCTCTCCGTTGGTGGTCTGGCTGAGCTACTACCAGGCGTCGCTCAACTGCAGCAGGCACGTCGAACACTTTTGTAGTCAGATGCAAATGACCGCCTTTAGCACAGACACCAACATGGAACCTGCCATTTGGAGCAGGGAGTCCTACTTTAACACATGTGGCACATTGATGCACTCGTTTGGATCAAACGGCCCTCCCCCCTCTGCGCTGCGGTTTCCGGCTGCTCAAGGGCGGCAGCACAGAATCCTTCTTAGCATCCTCCTCCTCTGTGAGCAGCGCCTGCCAGGGAAGGAAGCGACAGGGGTGACTACATGTTCATTTTTTCCCACCCGAACAGTGGCACATTCTTTCATTTGCTTAAGTCCACTCGACAAAATAATAATAAAACATCCAGTAGTGATGGATTCCCTTTAAAGCCAGCGGGGGAAAATAAACCATATTCTTAAGCAAATGGAAGCATTGTAAGGGTGAACGCCTTTATGCGGCCATGACATTTGCAATGTTTGATCTTTCAACAGAATGATCTTATGGACTCCCTGAGTCGTGTCCGGCGACGGCCCTGTCAATGTGGTCTGCATCTCATAAAAACCATGGCCTTTGCAGCTCAAACTTTAATCATTGATGATATCATGCAACACTGCGTCATGAGTGGGTTCTCCTTTCTGAATGAGGATGGTTTCATCTCCGGAATCCAAACATGATCAGGCGTTTGCCCATGGAAACAACGGCGTGCCATCGATGTACTCAGCTGGCCATGAGCAAACTCCTTGCGCGCGCTCGTCTGTGTGTGTCTACGTGAGCGTGTGCGCCAACTGGTCCTGGTCCCCTTACCAAACATCCTTGCTCCCACCCCCCAGCAATTGATGGGTTCGTTTGACCCTGCCACGTATGACCACAAGCTGCGCCCATCACGTCTTCCAAGCAGGAGTGCCCAGTGGTGGACGGAGGGTAGTGACAGCCTGCTGACTCCCAGGACTTTTCTCAGCCGCGCCTCCCGGAACTCGCCAGTGCAAAGCTTGGAGGAGGAGGGTACCAGGAAAATCACCTCGTGGCCAAAACTGTGTTCAGCAAATGTGAAGACTGCACACACGATTCATCAGCCACAATGAGGGAATCCCCACGAAAGGCACACTCATGGACGAGGCCGTTACCTCGTGGCGGACTTTTCCAGAACAAGCAACACCATGATGTCAAGTATTCCGGGCCTTCCAAACTCTTGGCTTCCCGTCCGTTCACAGGCCACTAACATGGGAATGGGAATGATCACATACCGCCACATGATTCATCATGCTGATGTAGGACTGTATGCTATGCATGCTGTGCTACGCTGTGTGATGTGTTTGACAATGTGGCATGCTAGGAGATGGTGTGCTATGGCTCTTAATGTAATAGTAGTGTAATGTCTAGTGCAAGTACACCATGCAAAGCTATGCGCTGCAAACATCCCGCCATGCAATGCAATGCAACGCATCGCAATTCAAAGTAGTGTACTTCATGCAATGCATGCATGAACCTATGCCACGTACGTGTGCATGCTTGCCTGCGTATGCTTCTGTGCATGCGTTTGTGTGCATGTACGCACGTGGATCAAAATGAGTTGGACAACTGATCATCGAAGGTTGGCACAAAATAAATCCCGTTGAATGCTACGGCGATTGAATTCTTGCTGACAAATAATGCAATGAATGGTTCAGTTGAGCCTCCCAAACAATTGGACACCGCCAACAGTGGCTTTACTTCACCGACCATTTCTTGAGCTTGCCTCAGGCCAAACATTCGAGGCACATGGACGAATCTGCAGTGACGTGAAACCTGGCATCAGCACTCATTGTGGATGCGTCAAACATTTAGGACCCTGATGTAGGCGCCCCCGCCGTGTCTCGCCATCGAAGGCGCACCACTCCATGGTACCTGCTCTCCAGGCCTCCTCACACACTCACATCCCGAGCAACCAAAGGAAGGCTAAAACTGCTAGAACCGGGAAGCTGGGAAATTAGGTGCTACCGCCCAGTGGCGCTACAAAATCTTGCTGTGACAAGGGATGCACAGTTGGGTCGAAATCTTAAAAAAAAGCCGGACACATGTTCAATGCTTTTGTAAGCGTATCGGATTCAATCTGCACCTTGATCCTTCATGTCACTGAGGAAGGATGATAACGCCAAGAAACATCATCTACGCATATGATCTACTTTTGCTCAAAGCCATACACTCCATTCCTAGCACACACAGGCAAACACAAGCAACAAAATACCAACACAGAGACAAAGACGCAAACACACCCACCCACCTTCCCACCCACTCGCTCACCCACCTGCCCGCCCGCCCACGCACGCACAAACACGCAACCACACCCGTCCCACTGCGGCGCACGAACCACGCATGGGTAGGTCTGGCCACAGCCCAAAGAACTGCGCCACGGCTCGCCAAGTCCTCGAGCGAATGAGCCGGCTCAAAGGAAGTGGGGCTCTGAGACCAAGGAAAACAAACGTGACTCAAGGATCAGCGCATCCCACTTTGGTGTCACGGATATGGGATTGATTATTTCGAACCATGCAAGAAGACGTCCTTTGTCTATTCTACCCTCTTTCCAAACATAATGCACATGGTCACAAGCGTTTTGGCTAATCACCATTCTCTTGAAAGGTTCATTGGTTCACTTTCATGCTTAAGGGCAGGCCAGCGATTGGAAGACCACTCCCATAACTACTTGTTCACAACGAGTGATATTCCTTAGTTTGACAGAACGTGGCAACCTAGCACCAACAATTGCCCCTGGTTTTGTGATCTTTTTTTGTTGTTGAATGAACAAAAGGCAGGGCAAAAGGATGACATGACACCATCACTTGGATGTGCTCGTTCTGACACACGGCCAGATAGGCTGTGAGTTCTGAGCTCAGATGCCTGGAGGCTTTGTTTGAATCAGTATCAAAAAGCCCAAGTGTGTCAAATACTTGCAGCATTTCGTCAAGAAGGGACACACCTCCGACACCCTCAGTAATTTTGGCTCCCCGACCAAACATCATGCTGAGAGCACTCTGCGTTCTTCCACTGCAAAAAACCACACATGTCCCTCTCCCCCCCCAAACAAATATGGATTCCCCGCTAAAACTAATCGAAAGGCACAGGACTCAGGCGCCCGCGTGTCGAGCTCCGCATCCACGTTGCGGTAGATGAGACGAAAGGGGCCGCCTGGCCAAGTGACAACCCTGGCTTCCACCAAACAAAAGCACCATGCAGGACTCAGCTCTTCAAAAGACGAGCAAAGAACAGGGATACCTTTGAGAAATGGCCAATGGCTCAAAATGACCAATGGCTAGAAATCGACCTGCAAAACCAAAAGCTTCTAAGGCCAGCTTTGGAAGACTGAGGACGAACGCAAGGCATGAGCAACATTACTGGTTGACTGAGTTGTCACCAGGCGACAGGAAGCTTCCAAAGCCCCAATGTTGGTGAGAAAGCGGCAAGGCCAATCGTCAAGGTCCCAAAGCTCCCGGTGCCCTCGAGTTCAATTTCAGGCTTGTCAACTCGGGTCGCGATCACATCATTCAGGCGTCTTGACTCAAGAGATTCACTCCACGTTTGGCATTTTCTGTGCGGGCTGTAGCCTTCGAGCGAAGCGGGTCTTGCCTTCTAGACCAAGATGTGTCGGCACCAACAACACCACCCAATGTCTACTCTGAGTCCGAGTTGCAAAGTGCAACAAGAAACCAAACATCCACATTGGATGGCTACCCATGCCGTTAATACGCCATAACCCCATTCCACATCAACACCTCAAAAGCCCAGCGAAAACCAGTGACCTCCCCCGGTGCAATCTGACCTGAGTTCACTTTGCCCTCCAGGATGCTCTGCAAGGAGCTCAACAGCTTGGCATTCAGCCTCAGCGAATTGGTCGAAACGACCAACACAGGACGCCCCCCTGAATCGGGGAACCTCGGCGAGTAATGTTTCTATAGGGTCGTGGCTGTTGGATGTTTTGGGATTTGCTTTTCCGCTTCTGTGATGTTATTGGAAGGCCTCCTAAAGGCAACTTTTGATTTAAAGGGCGCAACGGTTCCTCGGTCGTACAGCAGTGGAAACCGACCCACTTCAAAACCCATAACTCTACAAAAGCATCACCCTGCAAAAGCATCACCGACCCATGAGGCTTTCGCACTCCTCCCTCATTCTGGTTGAACACGCAGGGCTGCTCATGGGGAACCGCACTCATGGTCCGAAAACTGTCGGACCACTCTGCAACCGGAGGCATGACATTCGAAAAGTCGAACCCTTGAAGGCCGCCCACTGTTAGAGAAGCAGCAGGAGCAGAAAGGGGAAGCTGCCGAAAGGGCAATGAATCAATTGAAGGTCAATTAAGCCGGGCAGTTCCACTGACCTGTGAAGAACTGCGTGGAACATTTCTATCCTGACAGGCCTATCGACCTATTTGATTGCCTATGTGGAAGACCCCTGACGAATGGACGGCGAAACCTGGCAGTTGAAGTATTGGCTCCAGGGGCTTCCAAGTGGCTATCAGCACCTTGAGTCAGCTCTTCCCTGTGCAAACTTGTTGTGTGTTTCTCGTGCCAACACCGGAGTTCCCACTTATGCTACACCTCCCAAGTCATTTCACAAAGTCGGACTAGAGTCAAGCTCAACAGGGTCTTCTTTCCCCCTGATTACCAAGTTCCTTTGGCTGTGGTTCCGCTAGATAGTAGGTAGGGAAAAACTCACCGGGTTCCCTTCTACGCATCTTTGCCGCCTTTTTGACCTCTTGGAGGTGTCCAAACGCCCGAAATCAAAGCAACCAAACCAACACTGGACCCTCCAAAACCAGCAGCTACACACGCAGTTGGGCAGTAACCCCTTGGTTGGTTTACCCATTGTTTTTTCGGCAACCCGCCACACCAAAAGGGAAAACGGGTGTTGCGGAAGCCATCCGGCACATCCGGGTACATGCCGGCGAGCTGCAAACCCTCTCCCGGCCAGTCGATGAAGAACAGCCGCTTGTACCTGGCTCGGGGCTCCATGGGGCATACATCACATCTGTAGGTGGAGTTAGCTGAAGTCTGTGCGCAACAAACTGGAATTGATGCGCAAGGCCACTTCAAGCCAGCCGGATTGGCGCGATAAGGAACTGGCTGATGAGACGGTGACGGTTGCGTTACTCAGCTTGCCTAGTTTCACAGGGAAACGAGCAGACCTTGGACGATGCCTCGCCCTCAAGTTGAGATCAGCCTGAAGCAGGGTGCTTCGTGGGTGGCTAGCGGGGGAGAATCTAGTCAAACCCGATCAAAAGGAGCCTGAGGCTTCCGACCGCTAATTCGATCTCATCCTGATCAATGCCCCGCGCAAACACTACGGCCTCTCACCAATCTAAACAGTGTCCAATTACCAACCGATGGCAATAGGGTCAAAATCCAACGGCTAAAGACTGTGAGCAAGGGCGTTAATGTGTACTTTCACCCGAATCCACCCGAATGCTAAGGCTGCCCACTTAGGTTGTTTTGCCGATTTATGTCACCTTTGGCGATGTGGTCGGCGTTCTCTTCATATATACTATATGCTGCCTTGTATTGCTTGTCTGAAAGCAGTAGCCATGTCAGTGCTTCTGCTTACAGAATCGTTCAGCATCTTTCTCGACAAACATGCGCATGTTTGCCATTGCACCGTGTTCACTTGTTGTATTCGAACCCTGTGTCACACTCAAGGCTCTGTAATGTAAAGAGGGAACCTTCAGCTAGCGGGTGGGAAAACAGAGCGACCAGCTGCCAGCTTGCTAGCCGACAACCAAACCTGCCATGGGCTCGCCGAGCGCTGATGAGAGCATAATATGCAAGCCGGTCCAAACGGGTTTGTCTCCAAATGCAAACAACCAAAACGGGAGTATTGATTTGGTTTCTCTTTAAGCCAAAAAAGAGTAAGCTAACAAAAGAACAAACCCAAACCTCACCTCATTAAACCTAACCCAACCTCATAAGGACATGCCTCGGCCCTGCCCGACTCCTAGGCCGTCGCACTTCTCTTCTGTCAGGCGCTCCACGTCGCCAAGGTCCACCACAGGAGCTGCAGCCCTGCCGGGTGCCCTTCGCTTGTTTCTTGAACTTGGACCGTCTCCCTTCCCTTGATAGTTTTCTTCTTGTTTTAGTCCCATGTTTGTTCCCATGGTTGGGGGGAGGCAATATCAAACCCAGGCATGCGCTCGTGACAGCCGAACAACGCCGCGCATCGCATTTGTTTTTTGCTCGAGTCCTTGTTGTCCCCTGCTGGCAAGAGAACTCCCCTCAAGAGGATTGTCTCAACATCAACATGAGATGCCCTTTGAGAGCTTGACAAAATGCCCGGATATGCCGAGTGCAACAACTTCGTGGTATGGTTGACCAATATTGCAAGTCCCTCTTTCTTAAATTTACCCCTTCGCGAAAAGACAATGCCCTTGTAGGACCCTTTTGCCCCTTGGGCAGTAGCCCCCCTTGCTCTTCGCCAGGGCACAGCGGATACTGTGCCAAGAGGAAGGGCTGCGACCTGCAACAGCTAGCGAGCTACGACGCAAGCCCAGCTGGATGGAAGTTCCACCGGGGAATCCTTATAGCTCAAGCGTTCAAGCAACCACGTTGCATCTTTGATTGGAATTTCCCTCTTTTGCATGGCAGTGGGGCCACTTGTGGCACGTCAATGTTGCTAGTGCCAATCTCACAGCCCCCACGTCCCCACCGGCTTGGTCCAGTGGCCCTGTACCACCAATACAAGCGGGCATGGTTAGGAGGCTTGTTTGGGTCAGGGCTGCTCTCCACTTGTTTGCTCTTTATCTGGAATGCTGCAAAAGGCCATGTGTTTGCACTGGCCAGACAAATCTCTGCTCAAAAGTGCGCGTGTCCACTCAACTGAAATTTGTCCAGACAATGGCGAACAAAGCAACATACAAAGACCCCGAGACAAGCCGTGGTTGCCATGGTTCGCTCGATTCCCTAGCTACTGCAAGTCGGAAACACGGACAACCCACAATTTGCCATTGTATGTGGTCAGTTTGCTTGCTTGACATGTGGGGTTGTCTCCCTGAAGTTTGTGGAACATGCAAGATCGTGGTTCGCGTTGGCTTCCCTTTAAAGCAACCTCAAAAAGATCTCTCCAGAGGACATCTGAAACCTGGCCGTGCCTCTTCTTGTCGACGGCCGTTGAGGCGGCCAGCAAAAGTCCGGGGTCTGGCACAACCTCTCAGAAGAGGATGCTGTCCAACGTTTTTACCCTTCTTAGATTTTCTTTGACACCCAATGTTTGGGGTTCCCACCAATTTCCTGCCTAAAGGGGTTGGAGGTTAGGAGGTTTGAATGAGTTTGAAGGAGATGGGTGTGCGGCCAGGGCCGCTCTCCACTTGTTCGCTGTTTATCTGGATGAACAAGGCAAGCAAATACCGTCCTCACTGCCAGACAGCCAGTGATTCCTGAAACTTCTGAGCGCGGAAGGGCCCCTCAAAGGATACATTTGGACCAGTCAAACCATCACATGCAGCTGATTTAGAGGAGCCCCTTGTAAACCAGGTGGCTTTTGGATGTACCCTAGGAATCCTGCGGGGTGTGTGGGGCAGGGGCTCCCGGCACGCGAGACCTCTGGGGTGAGGAACTGTCTTCCTTTCCTGGCGACGAGGCGAGCACAGCTTCTCTCTGGACGTTTTCTGAATGAGTGTGGCTTTTAGGGTACCCTTTTCAGGCTGGTTTAAAGGGAGACCGAAAGACAAACTTCTATTTTTTGGGGGTTCCCCCTATGTTGACGCATGCCCATATATTAAGTACCCGCTTTGCTTTTGGCTTCCTTCTCTTTTCTTCTGCCTGGCCAATTGGGGACAAGACTTTGCCAACTCCGCACCCTTGACCAGAGGCGATCAAAGTCAAAACATGAAATAACATGAAATACTATTTTCAGAAGCCGAGCTTGGATCTGCAAGGATAGCAAAAGCTCGTCAATGGCTCTATATATCGAAGCAGGTGGGACACATTTGGGAATGCACGTGCACCCACCGTACACTCTAGTGAATCTGGACATTAAACAAACACAATCAGTCAGGAGGGTGGGCTCTACGTCCCTAGCATGAGGTATCACTGAGGCAGGTCCAGGTTTTCGTCTAGATGTTGCACTGACATGCGACGGACGCACACATCTGGGAGCAGTTTCTCTTTGCCATTACCTGCAACGGCTGCCAAGCTGGATGCACATGGCGTTTTAAAATGAAACACCCAGCGCTCCAGTGGTCAGCAACTGTGATGCTTCTCGGCCTTGCACTGACCCACGCTGCTCAGCAGTGGGTATGTTCTTAGCTCTGTGCTCCCCCCTCAGGAGTAATTTGGCAGCCACAAAACAGCTGTCAAAGTAAATGTAAGGCCAAAGGGGAACACACAGCAGTTTGAGCTGCTCCGTGCAACTGTTTGCCTTCTGACTGTAACATTTCAAAGGAATTGCCGAGCCACATACCTGCTCTGTTCATGGCAATTCTGGACAGCTTGATCTGCAAGTGGCAACACTATGTCAAGACTTACACGCTTTCAAGTAACCATGAAAGTGGACAGGCAAGCCTTGGCACATGCTTTCCATTTAACATGCGTTCAGTTTCCGTAAACACCGAGGAAAGAGGTTCGCCAGGCCGAGTGACCCCGATTCCTCGCGCCTGAACTTGCCCTCTCGCAGGAAGGACTCCCAGGGCCGGCCGATGTGCCACTGTGGCAGCTCCTGGCGCCCACAACGCGGTTTAGCGACCCTGGTTTAACGTGTCAGATGAACTAGGCCCCTTTTTAGATGGCAAAGGGAAGCCAAACAAAACCCGCTGGAAGTGTCGCCATTTTGCAAGCAGTCTGGTAGAAAAAGGGAACCAGTTCCTTTTCGGGTTGACCATTTCTAGCGGGGAATCGCTGTTTAATTGGAAAGATGTCCGTTACAAGCTGGAGGCTGCCGTCTTCAAATCCAGGCAGGCCAGTCAATTTTTGGCAAAATGGACTCTTCAGGCTTCAAACAACTCCACGCAGGCCATGCAGCTTCCAAATGGGGTATATAACCTTTCAATCATGCCAACATATTTGCTTTGGTCTCTCTCCCTCTGAAGAAAGGTAAATACCAAGCCGTCTTAAAAGTCGAACATTCAACACTTCAAGGAGGTAGTGTTGTCGTCTCTTGAGGTATGCTTTCCTCACTTCCTGAGTGGATTGGCCAAACAAAGTCGAAACTTCATGTTTGCCACTAAAACGATGTCTTCCAAAAAAGCATGAAGTCCAGGTCAGGAAGTGAGTTTCTATCATCAATCGACCTGCTGGAGCGACCGCCCAGGAAGCACCTTTGTGGGCCCTCGCCAAAATGGCAAAACACATCGCCTATCAACAAACAGTCCCGCGGAAATTGCCATGGTTCACACTGCAAGCAAACCATTCTGTTGAACCTTCATGGGGGAGGTCGCAAACCGAAACGCTTTGAGAGATGTCAAAATTGTGGACCCCCTTTTTGGGTGGTTCTAGAGGACAACCAAGGGAAACAACACTATTTCGTGATTGGTTCAATTTAGGACGGTTCCTCTGATTAGTATGGTTCTCGAAGGTGATCCAAAATCAACATTGAATGGTCCCCAACTGAGTCACAATGAGAATCAACCAAAACCATGTACAGAATCCGAATGTATTCAACATCACACAAATGTCTGGTTAAACTTATCCCCCATGATGGCTAAATGTTCGACAAGCAAACGCATCCATCTGCCCCTTGACTACTCGTTCCCCGCCTGCCGTAGCTTTTCGGCAGAGATCATCCACCCGGCTCCAGCAAACCAATCGGTCCGTAGCACCACCTGTCCCGATTGGTTCAACCACCAGGGTTACAGGTTTGGTGCAAAAACGGATATGAAAGATTACCATGATCAAAAACCAATTCCCTGCACTTCCTGATGTTCCAGCAGTGGTTCCCTGCGCACTTCCAGTTGCGTAGGTTTCCCGCTTTTGGTGCTGGCAGAAAATGCCTAGCCCTGTCCCCTCAGCACAATCCAAGGGGTGCACTTTTACCTCACCGACGCCTGGAAAGGCCCTTCGTAAAATGTTGAAGCACCAACACATATTGTTTAAACAACCTCTTTGGGTTCCCGTTCAAAGGGGGCCGAATCGGGTTCTGGGCATCCATTTCTGGGCATCCAAAACGGAGGCATCCCCAATCCAAAATTTGGAGTTTGTCTCTACATGGGGAACTCGCCCAACAGGGCATGTCCCATGTGGTTTCGCTTTAGACAACCCTGGTAAAAGGGTTCCCATAAAGCCAAAATCAAGGTCGTAGAACCATCCGAGAGGAACTTTTGGCATACTTGCTTGCGTGTCGGCCGAGAAAGTCAGTGGCATTTCCAGAAGAACGCAGCTGCTGCGTATCGCACAAGTTGCCAGAAGTGCCCAAAGTGATGCACCCAGGAAGGATCACAGCCCATTTGGACAAATCGATGGCACTAAATGATTCTAACCAAATCAGAAGCACTGCCATCATGTACCTGGGACCCGTGAACCCGGTTGGATTCCTTGTTGTGACTTGCTTTCCCTTGCAAAGGGGGAGGGGGTCCGAGGGTGTTGGCCCAACTTCGCCCGTCTCAAGCCCTCCCTCCGGCCGTCTCATCCGCTGCAAAGGGTGCCAGGCCCTGGTCATTCCAGCCGTTGGCCGCCAGAAGGCCTCAAAAGAGGGAGCCCGTCACGCGAAGTTGGAGCTAGGCCCCAGCAGCTCGGCCCTGTTCTCAAAACCTTTTCCTGTGGCCCTTCATCTTTTTGCCACCAAGACAAAGTGCTGAATGGAAAAAATGGATCTATAGAAGGGAAACCATGCTAGGGCTAAAGAGTGAAACGCCAGCAGTCCACTGGCCTTTGTACTGCTTGCTATCTCCTGCCAAAAAAACACAAGCATGAAGGAACTCATCGATGAATCTCTTTGAGCTCAGCCAATTGGATCTTGGTCCCTCTCATTCTGTCTCTCGCTGTGGGATGGCCTTCGATCACTTCCCTGACAACTTGCACTTGTTCATGGGGAACAAGCCTTCCAACCGTGAGACTGTGCGTTTCCTGACTTGGCACGTTCCTCTTCCAATTGACCTCGACGAAGCCCCATTGTGGTTGGTAAACACGCTTTCTCTTTGGCAAAACAAGTCAAGGACATGGGCGGCTTCTTTTTCCAACCCCAAATCACGTTGTCTTATTATTATTATTCTTATTATTTGACCTCCATTGTACCTCTTGGTTTGGACCCAAGTCAGGTTGGGGGGGGAGGGGCAAAGGCACTCATTGCTGTGAAGGGCACTATCGTCTTGCACCTGCGACAGCTGGGCAAAGTACCTGGCGTGCCATGGAAATATCGGACAGCCGCGGGGTCAATGCATGAGGATGACCAACTCAGGTGCCTTGTTGGAACCTCGTGTCCAAGGATAGGCTGCATATTATTTTAGAACAACGTTCCCCCATCCACCATTCAGCATGTCATTCCCCGGTAATAACGGCGAGAGTATATTTCTACCGCAGGAGTATGATCTCTGGCTATGCGCCGAAGTCTCATTGCATTCAGCATAGGCTGGACATGTGTCATGGCCTATCTCATTCGGTGGACATGGTCCACTTATTCTGGGTTGGCCACAAGCAGTTGCGGTCAGCTCGGGCATGAGATATTCCCAAGGGGCCGTCAGAGCGGGGTCACGATTTGGAGGACATGGGATGAGCATCCAGGAACCCTCCAATTACATCTTGGGAGAGCTCTGTGGGTTGTCCAGCACAAATCCTTGAAGACCAAGCTGCGCATGACTGCTTTGGCACTTGTGTTGGGGTGATGTAACAAGTGTAGCAAAGCAGGCAAAGAAGCACGACCAGCCTCACCATCTTTGTGCTGTGCTTCCGTGGAGTCTCCAAAAAAGTCACAGGGGCCACCGTAATTTTCTCATCGTAGGACCTACCCCGATTTGTGACCCTTTTCTCCAAGCCATGTCAGATCGCCACCCTTTTGGATATTCGGAGCGACCCTCTGAGTATCACGACCAAACCCCACCCGTACCATCCACGGGGAAAGACCAGCCCCAGCACCCCAAGGCTCCACCATTTGTACGTCCGTTCTCATCCGTTGCCTTTGCACTTGATCGAGAGAAAAGGGGCTCTGACTGTTTTGAACCTGCGGAATCCTCTAGGATGTTGATTTTGCAGGGACCCACTTTTGGCTCGTTTAAAGGCAACTTGTAAAGAAGCAACCATATTTTGGGCCCCTCTCCTCTCTCAGAGGCTCCAAACATGAACGCCAATCCCAAGGCGCACCAAAGCGCGTCCGGAGCCACCCTGCAACCTTCTGCAAGAACGACCTCGGCCCGATGGGGAGCTGTAGCAGGTCAAAGTGGGTGGCAATGACGAATCTTTCAAACTCGGGTTTCGCCCCCCCCTGTATGAAGGGACATGTTTAGGGGCGGTTAATTCTAAAGGGGCATGGCGAGTTGCAGCGGTGCTGTGATGTCCAAGATTTGTGATTGCTCTTCGGCTGAGTGCTTTCCCTGCGGGCGATCCCGCTCGCAAATCAGCGGCCTCCATCCAACCCATGCGAAAGACACAGAAATATTGTCCGCTTCTGTCTCTGGAGGTGGTGCCTCGATTGACACAACTCCACAAGTTGTCCTTTCAAGAATCCAGAGCAGCAACATCGTGAGGGCCAAGCCTGAGGCCACTGTTCCGACGGCTGCAATGTTGCCGCCTCTGTAGTTTCAAGTCATAATGGCCTTCCCTGCGAACGGTGGAACAAACACCAAAGGACTCTCGGCATGGCTAAACAGAACTGTGCAGGGCTTGTCTGCAAATTTTGACACGAGCACTCCGCCATGGCCCAGGGGTTCTTCTTTATACATATGTCTCTTTTGAACCTCAACGTAGAACGGAGACACTCACTGTAAAATTGGTCCTTGCAGGTGATGCTTAAAAAACCCAACCAAATCTTTGAAAGGGATTATTGCGAGGGTGCCATTGAACAACTGGCCGCACGTCTTCCCCTAAACTAACAACAGGCCATGTCCTTGTGTCCTCCCCCCATGTCCTCCCCATGTCCTCCCCATAAGCTGCTCAAATATCAGGACCCTGAGCTCACCATACACGACCAGGAATGGGGTCAGCTCAAGTATTTCCGGATGTGACAGCGCGTATCTGGATGTAGCAGCCTCGCGCACGGGTCCCAGAGGCTGAGTCGCCCTGCCACCGGCGCCTGCCGCTTCACCATCTCAGTGAGGGCGCCCTCGCGGCAGGCCACAGGGTGGGCGAGACAAGGGGAATTTAGACTCCAAAACCATCTTGGACGGGGATTCTTTCCTATCGGTCGGACTATGCTCCCAAAATAAACTAAACATGGCATTGCGTGGTCGAATCCTTTTGGAAGATATTTCTGTTTTGGACAGAGGCCCTGTGCGGTTCCATGTCCGCTGGCGGGTTTATACTGGGTGTCCAATTTTGGAGATCCTTCCCTTTAGGGGGAAACGCTCCTATCAATCCACAATGCTTCATCCGGCCCAGTGATTAGAAAAAAGAACCGATCTTCTTGGGTTTGACAATTTTGAGTCCAACCAGACCGGGAAAATGGTGCCGCTAAAGAAGTGGGTTGGAAACCACAAGCAAATGGCAACCTATGGTCGGATGGACAAACGCCATAACATGAGTCATCTATGGTTAAAGTGGCATGCTAAGGCAGCATGCTCGACGAAGGTAAGGGACAATGTGCTCTGCTCTACGCAATCCCATGCCAGCAGCAGAAACGGATAAACCGAAAAGGGCACAGCCAGGAACAGCGGCATGCTGGGCGCCTTGCAAAAAAACACCTGTGAGGCATCCTCCTGCCCCTCACTTCACATGGTCTAAGTACAAGTACTTAGTCCTCAATTGTGACAGGCTATGTTTCAATCAGCTGGGAAACACCACAAACAACAGGGCCTGCCACCGAACTCATTGAGGTTGGACCAGGAGCGGCAAATGTCGTGCTTGCTCATGTATCTTCGAGAGCCGCGTCTTCCCAAACCCGCTGTGGGGAGAACAGCACTGGCAAAAGAGTTGGCGGCTGCAAACCCTTGGCCGAAGGACATGTGATGCCCGTGGGCCAGGAGAGTGCAAACGAAAAGGGAGGTGCCAAAGGCACGGGGTGACATGAGCAAACTGTGTCCGGCCAAGGTCAATGTGGGCTTCGCTTGAACTGCACTCGGGTTCAAGGTAGGTGTAAAGTGTGAAGAAGCAGCCGCAGAAGCATCTACAAAGTTGGCCAGCCACTTGGGTGGTCTACACATATCTGCAACAAGTTTCGCTGAACTTTTGTCAATGCTACTGAAGGTATCGTGACAACCGAACAAGAACAAGGAGGATGGCACTACCATGATGGCCCCAACATTTCTGCCAGCAACTGGAGCCCGGCTCCTGCCTTGTACAAAGCCGATCTTCGCTCAACCTCTCCCTTGACTCGCTTGTCAATGGAGACCTGGCAGCTCAAGTTGGCAGCCGCTGAACTCATGGGTGTTCAATCCACATGGCTTCTACCGCTACACACAGTCCACGCAAGAAGTTGCCCTGCACAGCAAAGAACTCCACTGGGCACCAAGCAGGACTCGACACATGCACGAGGGAAGACATAAAAAAAGAAGGCCAACAGCAGCAACAGGAACACCCACGGCCAAGCACGCAAACAAACGGCAATCTGACAACCAAGAACTGCAGTCACCACCCCGACAAACGTAAATCACCTGCAACTCCTCGCAGCGCAGAGCAGGAGGGCCACGACAATATGAAACCAAGCCTGACCAGATCCAAATGGCCAATGCAAAAAAGGCTGCCCGGGCAGGCCATACGCAGGACGAGGCACAGAGACAATCTTTCACATGAGCAGTTTTCTGTCAGACGTATCCCAACATAAAGACACATGTGTCGGTCACCAGCAATTTTGGAAGCAAACATGGGACATATCAACGCCTTGCACCTTTGCCAGATTCTAATCTACCAAAACCGCCTATGAAGCCAAACCTGGAACCGCCTTCACCCCCCCTCCCCCCCATTGCCCACCCCCCCACTCTGTTCCCGCCTCCACCCTGGGCACCTGGAAAGTCTCCGCCAGCTGCGCCGTGGCGAAGCGCCCGTCCGCGTGGGCCAACAGCGCCGACCCCGCCACGAAGCTGGCCCAGCGGACGGATGGTCACTTGGGGATTGTTCAACCTCCTTCTTTTGTTGGGATTTCAGGGCTTGAGTCTGCAAACTAGAGTTTCCGAGAGGCAGGAAATGGGCCTCTCTTTGAACAAGTTGCAGTTTTTGGGAGCTGGGTGGTCTATTTGGCATCTGGAGGAACATGATCGATCGCGCGGTGGCTTCCTTCCGGCGGAACCAACGTGCGCTGACCTGCTTTGACAAGCCTTCACGGCTCCCCCGAATTTGATATCCCTAAAGAGATCGAAGTGATCCAAGGATCCAAGCATGTCAGACAAAAGAGGACTCTTGGTCTTGGACGAACATATCCTAGTAGCCTACAGCGCAATTTAGAATTCCACATCCCAGAAAGCAGATTTCGCGATGGGGCCTGGGAATCGTCCCCTGAATTCATTTCCACCAAAGACCAGGGGGATTCCGTTCTTTTCCAACCAACATGGGACTCCTGTTCATGTCCAACCAAAAAAAGGCAACACCGCCACACCTCCCCCCCCACCCGTTTTAAAAAAGAACCGCTCGCCCGTCCCGGGCGCCCGCGCCCCTCGGCACGGGACAGCGACTCCAAGGTCCGCTGCAGCGGCGCGGTGTCCTGCAACGAAGCCTGGCTCGAGGCCGCCGATGGAAGCTGATCGGAGGGTTCTGAAAGACGGATCCCCCCTAGCAAAAGGAGAAGGGGGGCCGGGGGCATCCCAATCTTTTCCAGGGAAAGCGACAATCGAGCCAAAAATTGTATTCCAGGCGTATGGAACCAGTTCTGCGCACAGGATCCAGCTGCGCAAATGGACTTGATTCGGGCACAAGCAAGGCATCCCCAAGTGAGCTTTCTACAATTTGCCAACTTTGAGACTCACTTCGATGCCTGGTCTGATGCCGGCCAATCCAGTCTGGACCCTGACTGTCTCGAAAGAATTCTTCTTGCCACATGCAAGATTGCCTCATCATTACTATCGTCGCGAAGGACAGGATGGCAAGTCCACTCACTTTCATCGGGGTCTTTGTCCCCCCGTCCAGCTGTCCTTCTGTCAACCATTGCATGACCAATCTTTTTTGCCCTTGGACGTGATGGCCATAGCCTGCCTGCAGCCCCACGTCTTCAGCAAAACTCAGGCGCGGGTGTGCTATTTTGAGGCTGCCCTTTTCAGGTTAGTATACAGGGGAAACCAAAACAAAACCACCATTTGAGGGGTATCCATTTGAAGGGCATCCAGAAGCGCGGCGGTGCCACGCGTGGCGTTTCCTCTGCCACGATTAGCACAGCGAGCTCTTTGGGCGTCACGGAGGAGGGAATGGCACCTCGCAAAGGCCATAGGCGAGTCACAATCAAATTCTTGGCACTGTGGCAGTCCGAGATGATGTGACTCAAAATGGGCTGAAGCCAGTGAGTTGGAATCAGGGGGAAGAATTGGATTGGGGAGAGCCATGTTTTTCATCTAACTAGACACTGTCTTTGCACTTCTGCTCTAGTTCATTGCTCCATGCCCCTGCCAATTGCTTTCTCCTACTTTTGAGCATAGGCCCCCATGAGTGAGATCAGTGAGATCCGCTAAGGATGTGCAAAATATGTTCAATGGCAAGCATAGGCTTGGAAACACGGCTCTCACAAGTCGTTTTTGGCGAAGCACCTGGGAGTTGTTTATGCGTCAAAGTGATATGCAGTCATTGGACAGTTCAGGCAAGCTTGCGCTTTCACAATGGGAGTGCTGTTATGAAACTTGCTAATGTCGGATACTTGGTCACCACCAACATCTGGCAACAACTACCCGCATGTCGGGCACGTTTGCAGAGACAATGCCTTATCGGTGCCGTAAGTCAGCCGTACATGCCGGACATGACTCCCTCAATTGACTATGTAGATTCACGCAAGGCTGATAAACTTCCAGGGCTCGGGAAGCTGGCTGGCGGATGCCCATCAGGCCCATCTCCCATGTAAATGACCCGGCAAGGACGCCCAGCAGCCTCTCAAACAACCCCCCCCCCCCCCCTTCTGAAGGTCTGAAAACGTGCAAGGCAAACCAATGAGAGCCACCACCACTTGGACCTTCTGGTCCCTTGCACCACCTGTCCCAGCCCCGACCTGCTTTCAAAGTCTGTCCGAAGCGCTTCAAGTTGGGGCGCGAGCGCTGCTCCTGGAAGCGATCGACGCATGGTTGCCTCCAAATACGGGAACCCAAATTCCAGGTGGTTTCCCTACGAACATGTCGTGGGTATCATCCTCTGCCATGTGGTAGGGACCCCAATAAGCAACCAGATAGCGAAGGGTACCAGACAGCCTCCCCTCCCACATGGAATGGGGCATTGGTCGAGAAAGACAGATTCTGGGGTCTTCCATCAGGCTGACAGGTGATTCCCTTGATTCCCTTTCGGCTGCGTTTCGGCTTCCCTTGGAATGCCGCTTTCCGCAGGTCCCTCGAGTTGAGATAGGAGAACCCGCTCCTTGGCCGCTCGGAAGGACCGACTCCTGCGGGAAAATGACACTCGAATGCGTTCCCCGGTGGCTGGAAAACTGCCGAATCAGAGAGGTTCTTCTCAGGTCCTAAGGTCCTGTGGGAAGCTTGACCCAAAACAGCTCCAAAGAACTGAGCATTGGTCGACGAAAGGAACTGAAGGCAAGCAAACCGACTTCCTTCCCTTGGTTTTGGAACAAACATCCGGTACCTGCTTTGGGTGATGCTCAAGCGGAACTTAAAATCAAAAGAAACCAACCACTTGTAGGGTGCGATTGCCGCGACCCAATTGAATGATCTGGTCAAATTAATTGATTGGCTCTCACCATACCATTACTACACCTCACTTCTTATCCGGGAGTTTCTATTTATTCTTCCCTTATTTGTCAGCAAGCCAACAAATCAACTTAAAGGTAGCTCCTGGAAGAGTTCAAGTCGACCTAGCAACCTTCTTTCAATGGCAAACACGCGGATGCGCAATCCCGTTTCTTTGCTGCCCACGCACTCTGTGAGATCGCATGACAGGTGCAGCGCACGGCGATCCGTCCTCTTCGTGTCGTCTTTCAATGGGAAGAACTGCGAGGCGCTCTGCAAAGCCAAGGGCGCCTGCGACTGGACGCGCGGTGGGGGGTCTCAAATTTGGTTGGGCACCTTGGGCGCCCGGACACCCGCGTTTTTCCCCCAACTTGGGGAGTTGGTCAGTGTCTCTGTCCAACCAAAAACAAGAAGTGAACAACAACATGCCGCTGGCTTTTGTAGCTACCCTACATGTCGCATCAACCCGTATGAGGAAACATTTCTTGTCCGTTATTCTGTCAATGCCCCACGTATTGATGAGTGACATACTACTCATATTCCAAAGGCATGCTCCAGTTTTATATGTTTATACCACCCAGAGGTGCTAAAATGTAGTGGACCACGTGGCAACTTACTCTGAATCGAGACACTCCGAATATCAGTGCACATCTCAAAGACAGCAACTTGTGACGACCTGCATCGCACGCATCTCTCCCAAGCAAACAAACATTAAGCAGCTCAAATTGATCCTGCTCATCGCAGCAAGGCCAAGCAGTTTGGAGGGTGTGCACGTGAGCCCGGGCCAACATTGTGCAGCACAAGCTCTCAGGGAGCAACAATTTGAACAGGCCCGCGAGCATACAACTAATTGAGAAGCCCTGTTCCTCCCTGGGTGCATTGCTGCAGTACTCGAACGCCGTTTAACGCGGAACTCTGCCAGCAAATAGGAAACGAGTCCTTGGATTGACAGACCGGCTCCGGCACTGTTTCACTCTCTCGCGGGGATGCTCCTAAGTCTGGATGACAAAGCGGCACACTTTGAGAAGCTGTCAAAGCACACATAAGTTCTTTGCATCCACGTGGGCCACACTTACCCTCCCAAGTCAACGTGGAAATGCACAAATTTTGAAGCATCGCAGTTTCCACCAGTGTAGGTCACCAGAATTGCGATGGCAGCAGATTCCCTGGGTTGCCCATTGCACAGGTTGCTATAATTCCCACAACCTTAACACACACGGCGCCAGGCTTGTAGAAGAAGGCAACAAGTTGTCCGCAAGAACACATCCATGATCTGTCTTTCCTAGATTCGGGCCACTTGTGAGGATTCTTGTCTGGCATGCCACCAGGACCGCGCTTCTCAAAGAGCCCGCAGGCTACGCGGCCAGGCCCTACACAAGTTTTGCGGTCTGTGAGTGGTGAGTATCCAAAAGACCCCTTGAACACATGATGCATCCTGCCAGCATCAATCAAATGCAGCTCTGTCGCTGATGCTCCTCTTTCATGCACAGATTATGGGGTGCTTGCGATTACAAAAAACAACTAGATTGGGTGAGATTAATAGGATGTTTCCTTCTGCCCTTCCAAGAGTCGAGCTTACCGACATCTCCCAACATTATAAGCACCACAAGCAGGATAGAGAACTGGACACACACACACACACAAAAAAAAGAAAGAAAGGAAGAAAGAAAGAGGTGTGTCTCCGCGCTTGATGCACTGGTGTCGCAACATGGCATCCGCATCATGTGCTCGCTCAGCATAGCTGCCAAAATCTGCAAGCTGGGGGCCGGCGACCGCTTGGAGCTTGGATCGCAGGGAAGCAACCAAATTAAACCAGTGTGTTGCTTTAACACAATCTTAAGCGGACGCAAGCAGCCCCCAGAGCATTCACTTCAGCTTGAGGAGACTTTATCCTTGCAGTGTACCCAACCAAATTACATCTTCTCTTCTGCAATCCGCTCCTCAGGAAGAAGCGAGTGTCGGGATAGATTGTCAGTGCTTCTCTAAATATAAAGGACCCCAACAGCCAACCTTGGCTTTCCCTCCCTGATTGTCTGCGCTGAACTTGCAACAACCAGTTGGACAACGTCTCCTCTTGGAATCGATGCGTCCTCTGCCCTTTGCAGAGTGCCAAGAGTTCACCGCGGATTCACCGCTTCGGAATCCGTTCTTGGGGGCCCCCGACTGCCCATGGAACCTCCAATTCCGGGCAGCCCCATCTCCAAAAGCTCGGGACGGTCGACCCGTTGTTTTTCCCTTGACAAAGGGGTGTCCCTTGACATCGTCCCCAACTCATTGCTTGGGGTAGGGATGCTACGAAAACTCCAACACGAGTAGAGGAGTGAAGAGGGTGAGACTTGCAGGCTTTCGCCACCTGATCTAGCTGTAGCCCACGTAATTGTACCTTACTCGCCCAGTAGTCATCGGAAATTCAGGACACACACGCACACACACACACACCTTTCTCTGATAGTTGCTTTTCGGCACCCCACACAAAAAACGAAGAAAACAAATACATGGCCCGGCCAAAAGTGACTGCCACTGCGCTGGGGCACGGCGTAACCTTTTTCAACTCCTCTTTGATCTTGCTATCCACGTTCAGCGTGTCCACGAAGCTGTGAATCCGCCTCAATCGAATCAGCCATCTTCCGGCAAGGGTGGGGTCCTTTCGCAAAACAATGGATGCCACTGGCGTCCTTGGTTGCAAACAAACTAGTGTACAGTGTACCAGTGGAGTTCATGTTCCCTCAAACTGGCTAAGGAGAACTACTTCTGTCATCCCGGCGAAGCCACGCAGAAACCCTCAAGTCAAGTGGGAGGTAGACATTGCAAGTAAACCTGCCAAACAAGAAAGGTGACCACAAAAGATTCGCATGAAGCCTGCTTCCTGACTTGCAAAGTTGGGGCTACAAAGCTTCCCGAGCCTGTAGCCGACAAATTGTGTGGCACCTTCTACCAAACCACCAGCTAAATGACAGAACAAGTCAACATGCCAGGGCGTATTCTTTGCAGAATTACGCACCCATTTGAAGCAATTGGTGGCCTCTTTCCTGCTGATACACAGCTTGTGAGGGAAGCGCCCACGAAACGCAGGCTCTCCCCAAAAGGCCCAACCAAGAGAATAAGACGACTTAAGACGTGTCTATTTCTGGTCCCTGCAAAGGGGTAGATCTTTCCAGATAGACTTTGCAAAGTGCCATTTTTGAGCAGAACGGAACATCAACCTCGGATTGAGCCATGGAACTGCTGCGTCATGGCCTCGTTGGTGCGAGTCAGGTCCCTAAGTGCCTCGTAGGGCTTGGGGTAGCCCTCGCGCCGCAGGATGCTCTGGATGGCCTCACAGAATGGGACGTGGATCAGGCAAAACATGGGATTTGCCTCCAGGATTCAGACCCCTTCAAGGCAGCACAAAAGACAACCACCTAATTCTGACACCACGCACTGATCTCCCCGCTTAGTATAGATTCGAATCTGTAGAACGTCCGCCGCAAGCCACCAAGGCCTCGTGGAATCCTAAGCACCAAGCAAATCTGGGTTGTCATGCCCCTCCTGAAGCACTGCTTGCCGATTCAAGGCAGCACGAATTGCACTTCTGGACACGTTCGCATCATACTTACAGCCAGGAGTGGCAGCCCTGTCGCATTCCAAACAACGAGACCTGGCCGCAATTTGTTTCGGAACCCTTCCAAAGATCTTCGCTTCAGCACGGAAACGCGTCTTCCAAAGTACCACATAAATGTGATGTATTGCAGTCTTCCACCCTCGTACTCCAAACTAGATGAGTCTTATGCCTGTCTTACACTTCCTCCATCGCACTGAATTGTCCCCCCCCTCTCCGCAACCTTCGCTCCCGGCTGCGCCTCGGCCACCACTGCCCAATTGCTCTCAAGGTCCGCATCAATGGCGGCCTGGCAATGGCAGAACCTTGAACTGCGTGGGAGGCTGCGGTCTGAAAGACCATTCCTTGCCGCAGCCTTGATCTCCTTCAAACTCCGCCAGAGACAATGATCGTTCAACATCGAGCTAAGCGGAAATGACTATCCAGGTGAATCCGCTTTCAGACGCAAGCAAAACAGGCTTCACTTAGCCCAGGAAACTCTTACTCGCAGCAGAGGCTCTGCCGGCCGAGGGGCTGAACACCTCTGCTGGATGCTGAAAGCACCACCAAAAACGGGCCGTCATGGGCCTTTTATTTGAGGGCTCTCGACTGTGGAAAATCACCTTTTAACAACTCTGAGACACACCTGTAATTACTTTCCATAGAACCTAGCAACGCCATGCTTCAAGGTACAGTGACTCTGAGCTATGCCAGCTTCACTTGCATAAGCATGATTGGCCACAAAAAGTCCAAGCTTTCCTGTTGCCACTCAAATCAATGGTCTTCCCGCAAGGTCCAAAGTCCAGGAACTCAGGGAGTCAGTGTTTGAACAGTTCGTTCGGTGGCTTGAGTTGGTTTTAGTTGGTGTTGGTTGGTCTTGCTGTGAATGGCTGGTTTGTCTCTTGGTTTGCTTCTTTGTGTCAAGACTTCCCCATCCACGCCTTGTTCACCAGCAGCTTGCCCAAGCCTCGCTGGATGGAGGCCAAGGCGATGGCCGTGTGCGCCAGGGGCACTCCCACGTTTCGCAGCACGGTGGAGTCCTCAAGGGGCGTGTCTCGTGCTTTGAGGGTGCTGTTTTTGGGGTTGGTTTCAGGGGAAACCGAGAGGAATCCGTTGCCATTTTGGGGATTCTCGTGCTAAGACACACCCAATAACTCCAAAACTTTGCCATAGTTAAATGGCATCATCCCCTCACTCCATGTGTGGAATTCAGCTCGTTGCCTCTGCTTTTGGAGTATCTCCGGGGCACCAAAGTGGTTTGCGGTGGACCACCTGGGAAGCCTTGTGCCGAAACTATTGATATTGGGCTTCTGCTGGCACCAGCCGTGGCGCCAAGATTACTTTTACGAGCACTGTTGTATGAGGGTTTGGAGATCCTGGAGTATGGACGGTCCTTGGTGTTTGATTCAATGGCCCAACGGGCACATGTTCGAAGATCCGTCGAGCTTTGTATTCAAACCGGGCCGCGACGGTTCCTGCCGTCTCTCATGCCAGTCGAGCTTTCATGACGAGCCAGTCGATACGTCCCAAGTGTAAGCTCATGTGCATCCTCAATCAGTGGACGTTTCCCATCTCCCGCAGAAGTGTTCCACGTGGCACTGGTGCACCAGGTGACAGGAACGGAAAGCCGCCGCGCAACCTGGAGTGCTCAGTAGGCCGGACACCTTTTCAGAAACCGCTTCTCCGCCGATTCTCTGATCGCTCGACTAAATTC